TGCTTGTATCAACAGAAGAAATATCGAAAGGAACCAACACAAGGATTGAAAGCCACAAAAGAGTGACACATTTGGCCTCCATTTCTCCAGTGCTTTCTTGTCTCAAGGCAGAAACAGAAGTCGTGCTATGACACTTCTCCAGGAGCAACACGGCGAGTTCCAGATCGGATACTTGATGAGGAAAGAACTTGATAACAGCTTTGTAGCCACAGACAGTAACTAAAGCATAGATAATGATGCTTATTGGCTTAATAATTTCAAGAATTTCATCAGGTTTCGCTTCTAAATCAACTATATTGGAGCGGATAATAAACATCAATGGTGAAACAATGCTCTCTAAGTAAGGTTCCACTAGTTGACCTTGCTCTTGGTATTTATCCATCTACAATACAACAAAACAAACGAGGTTGGGAAGAGGAAAAAATTGGGCGGGTCAAGTAGATGAAGTTAAAAGAGTAAGAAGCCTACGATGGATCGGATCTTCTGAACAGACGTAGGATCAACAACACGTCCATTTGAAACAATATCATCGAGAAGGGTTTTAACGAGCTTCCATTCTTGTAAGAAGTACCTCTGTAGAACTCTCTCTTTAGAATCATGCTCGTCGTCTTCTTCCTCTTCCATCTTCACCGCCGCCTCGATTTCGATTTTCGTCGGAGCACTTTCCTCATTGCTAGAGGCCATTACGGGATCAACGGAGGGTGAATTTTATTAATTCCCGCTCGCCGGTAAATTTTGTCAGTGTTGGAACTGGAAAATATCAGTGAGATCGGTGAAGACTAGAGAGACGGCGAGTTTGCACTTTTAGGCCCGTTAATTTTGGGCCTATATGGTCATAGAGAATGAAGGCCCGTTCGTTTCTTAAATCTCCGGATGGTTTTACAAAACCGGCCAACCAATTAATTACAATCACCGAACCAGAGGTTGTACCAGATTCGTTACTTGGATTTTTATAACGGCGGAATATCCAATGAGACTATTTGGGGAAAAAATATATGTAATAAAAACTGCGAAAGGCATAGGAGGATCACTAAACTCTTAGCCTTAATCAGCGGTCAAGATGATACCCTTTTGTGGGATCCAACGGTCAGATTTGATCTGAGTTGTCCCTTAGTGAGGACGAAGAGATGGGAGAAAGATGTTTTGATTGGCTAAAAATCATCTCACTCATAAAATAAGAGTTGCAGAGAGACTCTCTCATCTTCTTCATTTCTTTACCATCATCTTCTTCTGCTTCTCTCTCTCTCTCTATCACAAGAGAGCGAAAACAAAAAGCATGGCTTCTACTTCTTCCCTCGCTCTCTCTCAAGCTCTCCTAGCTCGTGCCATCTCTCACCATGGCTCTGACCAGCGTGGATCTTTACCAGCTTTCACTGGACTCAAATCCACTGGCTCACGCGCCTCTGCTTCTTCTCGTCGACGTATCGCTCAATCCATGAACAAAAACCGCTCTCTCCGTCCTCTTGTTCGAGCTGCAGCTGTTGAGACTGTTGAGCCGACCACTGATTCGTCTATTGTGGACAAATCGGTCAACTCCATTAGGTTTTTGGCTATCGATGCGGTGGAGAAGGCGAAATCAGGTCATCCTGGTCTTCCTATGGGCTGTGCGCCGATGGCTCACATTTTGTATGATGAGGTTATGAGGTATAACCCCAAGAACCCTTACTGGTTCAACCGTGACCGATTCGTTCTATCCGCTGGACATGGATGTATGTTGCTTTACTCGTTGCTTCATCTTGCTGGCTACGACAGTGTCCAGGTCTGTGATCTCTTCTTTGTTTCTGCTGATCCTTGTTTTTTTAAGACTTTTAACTTACGATCTGATCATAATCGAAGAATGTAGTAACGTTAGTGGATAGATTTACCTGTAAAATTCATAGATTCCATCTGTTTTGATGTTCATCTGATGGCTGCTTGAAGCAGTGGAAAGTCATTTCACTGAAAAGGTATTGGATTTGTTTATTAGGAAGAAGATTTGAAGAACTTCCGCCAATGGGGAAGCAAAACACCAGGACATCCTGAGAATTTCGAGACTCCTGGAATTGAAGTCACTACTGGTTTGTCATTTTGCTTCTTTGGCTAGTGGTTCATGCAAATTACGCAAACTTTATATATCTATGTTAAGAATTGTGCTCTCTGCTTTGGCTGGTAATCAGGTCCTCTTGGACAAGGAATCGCCAATGCTGTCGGTTTAGCTCTTGCTGAGAAACACTTGGCTGCTAGATTCAACAAGCCTGATGCTGAAGTTGTCGACCACTACACGTAATATATGCCCACATTTTTGTCATCATTCTTTGTTTGTATATAGCTCTGACATTGGAAATCCTGTTTTCGATTGATTGTCTAGATATTGTATTCTTGGAGATGGTTGTCAGATGGAGGGTATTTCAAATGAAGCTTGCTCTCTAGCTGGCCACTGGGGACTTGGAAAGCTCATTGCTTTCTACGATGACAATCACATTTCCATTGATGGTGACACAGAAATTGCCTTCACTGAGAACGTGGACAAGCGTTTCGAAGCCCTTGGATGGCATGTTATCTGGGTGAAGAATGGAAACACCGGGTATGACGAGATCCGTGCTGCCATTAAGGAAGCTAAAGCTGTTACAGACAAGCCTACATTGATCAAGGTAACTACAAATTCTGAACCATCAAACATCAGTTGGTCTAAAGACCTTTGACATTGTGTTTACCATATTGCTTGTATCCGGATAAATTCAGGTCACTACTACCATTGGTTATGGGTCTCCCAACAAGGCGAACTCATACAGTGTCCATGGAGCTGCACTTGGCGAGAAGGAAGTTGAGGCTACCAGAAATAACCTTGGATGGCCGTATGAGCCGTTCCAGGTACCTGACGATGTTAAAAGGTAAGTAAATCCAAAGCAGGCTTCTGTTAGGTTTTATTTCTTTGAAGTTGCTTTGATGACTTACCGTTTGAGTCACACTTTTCTAGCCACTGGAGCCGTCATACACCTGAAGGAGCTGCTCTTGAATCTGACTGGAGTGCAAAGTTTGCAGCATATGAAAAGAAGTACCCAGAGGAAGCTGCAGAGTTGAAATCTATTATCTCTGGTGAATTACCTACTGGCTGGGAAAAGGCTCTACCTGTAAGTAGAACTCTCTTTGTAGTCGGTACAATTCAATTGGTATTCTAGATATGGGTTTGAGAACATCTTTCGTTTTCCCTTTTTAGACATACACACCAGAGTCTCCGGGTGATGCCACCAGGAACTTATCACAACAATGTCTTAACGCTATTGCTAAAGTTGTTCCCGGATTCCTTGGTGGAAGTGCTGACCTTGCATCATCCAACATGACATTGCTGAAAGCCTCCGGTGACTTCCAAAAGGCCACACCTGAAGAAAGAAATCTTAGGTTTGGTGTTAGGGAGCACGGAATGGGAGCCATATGCAACGGAATTGCCCTTCACAGCCCTGGTCTTATTCCGTACTGTGCAACTTTCTTTGTGTTCACTGACTACATGAGAGGTGCCATGAGAATCTCGGCTCTGTCTGAAGCTGGTGTTATCTATGTTATGACCCATGATTCTATTGGTCTTGGAGAGGATGGACCAACCCATCAGCCCATTGAGCACATTGCAAGTTTCCGTGCAATGCCCAACACTCTTATGTTCCGTCCTGCTGATGGCAACGAAACAGCTGGTGCATACAAGATCGCTGTCACCAAGCGTAAGACACCATCTATCCTAGCTCTGTCTAGGCAAAAGCTGCCTCATCTTCCAGGTACATCCATTGAAGGAGTTGAAAAGGGAGGATATACAATTTCGGACGACTCTGCAGGCAACAAACCCGATGTGATTTTGATTGGAACTGGATCTGAGCTAGAGATTGCTGCACAGGCTGCGGAGGTGCTTAGGAAAGAAGGCAAAACCGTTAGAGTTGTATCTTTCGTGTGCTGGGAGCTATTTGACGAGCAATCAGATGAATACAAGGAGAGTGTGTTGCCATCAGCTGTATCAGCTAGAGTTAGCATCGAAGCAGCTTCGACTTTCGGATGGGGAAAGATTGTTGGAGGCAAAGGAAAGTCCATTGGTATTAACTCTTTTGGGGCCAGCGCACCAGCACCGTTGCTGTACAAGGAGTTTGGTATAACCGTTGAAGCTGTTGTTGATGCTGCTAAGTCATTATTCTAAGAGATTTTAAATCAGACCATACTCTCTGGTGTCTGAAACTTTATTTGGAAACAAAGGCTTATTCACATCATTGTCTCATATCTCAGAATAAAGTACAACAAGGCTCGAAAGACTTTCACTTCTTTTTTTTCTTTTTTGGTTTATTGTGTAATTCGGGTCAACATAGGTTTTGGGTTTGAGATGAGAGACGATTTAGAAAGACATATGTACAACTCCCATAATCAATCAATCGTGTAATGTTAATTTCAGCAGAACTTTTTTTAGCAATTGTTTTATTGTATGTAGATTGTAATGACCTATATGGCTATTAGGCTATAATCATATGAACACAGACAAGCATTGGGTGATGGACAAGAGAGTTTGGTTCTTCATTTAAGGTATATCTACATTTGGGGCCCATATTTATCCATGACGAAGGAATGGTGAAGTTTCTACCTTGAGATATCCAAATATCCCATCCATGTCCTGAGCCAGTGAGCCTAACTAACACAAAGAAACAAGAGTAGAAGAAAGCTACTTTTGTCTTTGTCACTTGTTTGTCATCAACGACCACAACTCAAGTGGAACCCACTATTCTTTTTGGTATCCTAACACTAACACATTATTATGCCACAAGGAAAAAGATATTCGGAATCAATTTTCTTTCTCTCTAGTTGATGGACTATATAGGCCCAGTAAACACTACACTGTCCAATAGAGTCAAAGTCTAGGCCCAGTTAATTACTCAAAGCTTCCACTTGTGATGTCGAACCGCGACTAATTTCACAGACATACATACGGTTTCAATAGATAATATAAATAATTAGGGCTCCTTAATTAGTCCTCGAATAGCTAAAGAGGGACAATGTCTAGCAATACCATGGAGAAGGCACCTCCGTTGTTTTTGTCATTGCCAAACGAAATCGTTGTAGACATCTTAGCCCGCGTACCTAGACGGTATCACCCAATTCTCTCTTGCGTGTCGAAGAAGTTGCGATCACTCGTACGTTCCTCTGAGCTTAACAAGACGCGATCTCTCATGGGACGTGATTGCTTCTACGTCTGCTTTAGGGAAGATTTTGGTCCACGCTCAACCTATACCTATCATTGGTTCACTCTAACTGAGAATCGTCGTCTGGTGTCGATAGCAGTCCCTTGTACGCCTGAGCCATACGCGGCTGCTCTCATGGTGGGTCCTGAGATCTACTTAGTTGGCGGCTCTGTTTATCATCCTTCGAGGAATATATGGATCCTCGATCCCTCGTCTGGAAAGTTGCGTCAGGGTCCAAGCAGGTTTGTGGCCACCCTGTCCGCAGCCGTGGGACTAGTTGACGACAAGATTTACGTTTTTGGAGGGGGACGCGAAGACGAAGAGATCCAAGCGCAAGTCTTTGACCTCAAGACTCAAACTTGGCAAGTCGCGCCACATCCTACTATGCACTTGCAAACCATATGGATGTCCGTGGTAAGCCCGTCACTAGACAGAAAAATTTATGCCAGGAATTCTCTGGGGGCCGTCATGGTATATGACCCTAGAGATGGTCAATGTGACCTCATTAGGATACCAGATAATGATGAATACAGTAAATATGTGTGTGTGATAGACAATGTGATATACATGCATTGCCATGGTGTTGGGTTAATGTGGTATAACTCTAAGACCAGCGAGTGGAGAGGGGTTCATGGTTTGGAACTCAATGAGTGGTATTGGGATCTCGCACTGGTTGAATATAATGGAAAGCTGGCGTTTTTGTGGCGTCAAGTAGGAGTAGCCAAGAGTGAGATTTGGTGTACAATGATCGTCATGTATAGGAGTGGACAAGAGATTCGCGGGCACGTGGAATGGTCTAGTTGCGTACTTCCCGACGTCCCACGTCACTACGAGATTATGCATTGCTTAGGCCGTACAGATTAATAGTAAACCTCTAAAGTTCTCGGTCTCTTATAGCAACATTATAGGGCATTCTCAATGGTAGCCTATTACGGCTAAGATTTTTTTAAGAGAGTACCTATATAAGGCTACCATTGATGATGGTCTTAGTTTTCACTTGGATTATCACATCATTTTTTATATATAGCACATCAACTATATATATATTTGAATTCGTTTCTGCGAATAAGATGATTACCCAGATTCCAATTTCTTACAAGTTGTGATTGCTTTAAAGCTTATGTTTAATACTAGGATTTATCCCATGGTAATTTAAGATGATTACGCACATTCCAATTTAAACGATACTAGGATTTATCACGTGTCCATAATTTAATATATTTATTTAATTAGTCATTTTTGATCACCGACAAAAATAATGAATAAATTTCTGAAACGAACTATCACACTGAGATCAAAACTTCACATATCTTTCTCATTGAAAAAGTTAGTGAATCTTACCAACCATATGTTAGTATTATCATATTAAGATTACAAAAATCTTATCAACCATATGTTAGTATATCACATTAAGATTACAAAAATAATAATCATATGAAGACATGGCATTGGAGTAAGACTAACAAAATAAATCTCAAATGATGATTCCCATATTTCAAATTTCCTAACCAAAGCTAGAAACAACACTTTCCAAACAGATATCCAGATTAGTTTACGAATCTTACATCCTGAGGTGTTGTCGTGAGCCAGATTGGAGATGTACGCCAAATCAGATGATGTATCAACAAAAAAAATATCAAACAAGACCCTTAAAAGCCACAAAATGGGTAAGGATAAGAAGCTTACAGTGGATCGGATCGACTGGATTAGCCCTGCGCATTCGGGTACTCGGATCGGGTTCGGGTTAAAGACGTTCAGGTTCGGGTTTCTCGGTTTGAGGAGTTTAGGATCTAATTGGGTAAATCTAAAACTTTGGTTCGAGTCCACTCGAGTTCGGGTCCGTTCGGATATAGATTTTTATAACCGCTAAAAAAAAAAAATTGGGTAAAAAAATACCAAAATTTTACCCGAATACCCAAAAAAATTCGGATAAATTTTCGGGTTTTTGGATAAATATCTGAATTATTGGATAAATACATGGGGTTTCAGGTAAAAATTTAGATTTTGGGTATAAATTCAGGTATTTGAGTACTAAATTATTTATATACATTTATATTTCGAGTATTTTCGGGTTCGGGTAGTCGGGTTAGCTGCATGGAATCGGAAGTGGTTACGCGGACGCGGAATCGTTTGGAAGCGTATAAGCGAGTTTTTTAGAAAAATTAGGAAGTGGGTGCGCATTGGAAGCTATGTGTATATATATATTATACTAGTCGGTTGCCCGCGCTACGCGCGGGAGTTTATTATTTTGTTTATGAAAAATTAGTTCGTATTTTATTTTCTACTTATTTTTTTCACTATACCATATTTTAATTTTTTAAAACTTAAATTGTGTTTGTATAGAAAAACTATTGAGTTTTAGCTTCATTATTTGTTAAGAAATTAATTGTGTATAGTATAAGTCGAAATGTGGGCGTAAATGGAAGTGCGGTTGAGAATAATTGAGAATCGTGTGCTATTAGGATTTTTACCAAATATAGATCTAGATGTTAATATTTTGGGCCCTTTTATATGTTGGCATGATATTTGAACATGATTCGTGGGTTTCGTGCGGATTGTTATAATTTTAATTGTTTACATTATCTCTTTATATATTATCATAATTTATTACTTTTTGTTTTACGTTTTCCTTTTTTGGATTTGTTGTACTTTATATCTCGTAATGATCATTTATATACTATTATATATATTTTTCTGATTTTATGTTTTATATGTTTTTTTTGTTTTTTCATATGGAACAATTTTAAATTTAACATATTAGTATAATTTACTTTATATTTAGTTTATTTCATTTAATAATGTTTTTATTTTAATTTTCAATTTTATGAAATATAGTTAAGTTTTTTTATTTTGTTTATTAGTTTAACATATGTGTTGTATTGGAAAAAAATAGTTAAATTCATATTGGAAACTTTTAAAGATATATTATTTTTATTTTTACGTTTTTATATGTTTATAAAAAATGAGAATTCATGTTTCGGTCCGACCTATCTCATATATGTTAGAAACTTTTTAAGACATAAATTAGATAGATTTATATTCTCAAAATTTCTTACTTTTTGCTCTATTCCCGTTAAATCCCATTATATTTAGGTTTACATTGTGTAAATATAATCATATATATATTTTAAACATTCACTAAAAACTATAATCTATTATTAATATATTTGTTAGTATAATCGATAATTAGTAAGCTTTTTAAAATTTTAATCATTTATCTTTTTTAGTTTTATAATGTATAATATAAAAAAGACCTTTCATATTCATTTTTGAAAACCTTATTTACATAGGTTTAAATATTAAAATTAAATGATAAAATGATATAATTAATTTTAAAAATTAAATAATAAAATTAGGTGGATGATGATGTGTATTAAGGAGAAGAGAGAAAAAGTTAACTTTATATATATAGATAATATATATATATATATATATATATAAAATACTAAACATAAAATCATACTATAAATAATGAAACCACAATCAGATATTACCAATGATAAAAGTAATAATGAAAACTAAAATGTCATATCTTAAATATTAAGGGTTAAAACTAGAGGCAATGAATATTTTTTTTAAGCAACTATAAATCTGTGTAAATGTATGTTATACATGATTATGATCTGAATCAATATTATGTAGTTTAATGTAGTGTAGTGGCTTGCGTGTATTTTAAAGTACCCCCAATCCCAAGGGTGCGGTTCGAATGCCACTAAACACAAGTAAAAAATTTTTATTTTAAACGAAATGGGTAAATTTGTATTTCATCAATCAGTCATCTTCTTCCTCCTTTAGAAAACCCTAATGGCCGTTCTCCATCCTTTTTCTTGTTTTTTTTTTTTGACATTGATGAGTCTAAGGGAGCTTCCAATCTGCTCCCACACGCTTCTATCACGATTCTAAAAGGCTCATTTTCGGAAACGCGATTCCAAGTCGATTCCGGCCGATTCCGCTCCCGGTTCCGATTCATCACACATCAACTCGAATAGCCCATTTCAAGCAACGTTTTCACCAATTTCAAAAGAGAAGGTCAATAGAGAGATATCGAGTTGTGTGAGGGAGTAATAGCTAAACATGTTTTTGTTGTTTCCTTTGGTTGCTTTTTTTTTTTTTTAATTAACACGCCTAGCGTGTACGATCATATATTTACACGTAAATGTCTCTGAAAACACAAACACATGGTTTGTTTGTTTGCTTTTGTAGATTAGTGACGTCATAATGAGACAGAGAGGACTCTCAGGGTTTCTCCGCGTCTGCAACGTTCTCGATTTAACCGACGAAGTCACGACAACGACGCCGAGCTCCACTCTCGGACGGTAACATAGTTTGATTCTGGGCCTTCTCACTAGGCCTGTTAAGGCGAAACAGTCTTAAGAACCAGTAGACCCTTCTATCTATAGTAGCAGCAGGCTTCAGAGAAGAAGCAAGAAATTGATATAGAATGATTACCAACCTTAGTCTTGTGAAAATGAACAAACTTGAGCCAAGTTAGTTTCTTCTAATGAGGCTTCATTAGAATGATGACCCGGTTTTGACCAATGCGAGTCTCACTAATACGACCAAGGTGACGAAGTACCTGTTAAAAAGACATCAAAAGATGACAATGTTTTATGTGTTTCCAATTCTGAAATGAAGGAAACATATCTTAGGTTCTTACAGTAAGTATTGCTTTTCCTGTGTTGTCTAGTTTCAAACTTGGTCCCTTCATGTCAGTTTCAAGAAAGAAATGTTTGCCCTTCACTGCTTGCGCTGTTACAATATCTCGTAGTTTCTGCATATAAGAGTTTAGAACATAATCTTTCTTAGACCTTCATTGCCACTCGATGATTATAAGAATGTTTTCGCTAGTGAACAGATACTTTCATCTATACATAGTGGAAGATGAGTTATATTAGCTTACCAGTGCTTTCTCCCAGAGGTTTTCCGCCAGCTTTGCCATATAACAAATTAAACAACAGTCAGTACAATCGTAGCATATAAGTCAAATACGCAAGCCAAGAAGAGAGCATAAATATATGAGATATACCTTCTGCTTTGGGGCTGCAATAAGATGAGCATTTGCTTCAGCATACGAAGCCATGTCACTGATGGCCGCATTCACCTTTTCAAGGGTGAGTCTTCCTCTCATGTATCTTTTTTAGGAAAAATGTCAGAAAAGGAATAGGCGTTTCACATAAACAGGCAGAGAGAAGAAAAAGTAAAACTGCACTTACGATGAGAGGGAATTGAGCTCTTCAACAGTTATGTGCCAAAGTGGAGGAGACCCGCGACCCTTCTTCTCCTGGAAACAGAACCCCAAAGATTAACCATAGTCCATAGACAGAGATAATAGAATACACCACTAGCTACAGTTTAACATTCGTAGCCATAGAGTCTTATAGGCCATAAAGTCCCTTTGGAGAAATGCAAGTACTACCTTGGGTAAAACAACTGCTTCCTCATCAGATTTCAAAGAGCTGAGACCAGGATTATGCTCATACTGCTTGGCATTTTCTTGGAGCAAACTGGAATAAAAACACAGTAATCTTTAATCAAACTTTAGGACTATACCAAAATGTATATACCATCTATTTAAGTCTGAATTCAACATAGTAGCCTTGTCAGGGAAGGTGCATAAATAGACATCTTCTGCAATTTCGCTTGTTGTTTCAGTGATGCCTCAATAAGTTTCTACAAGCAACACAAATTCTCAAATTTAAGAACATACAATTTGGTTTCCAAAATTCAAAACTCCAGTTCCAGATTTAAAATTTAAAATTATCTTAGTGGCTAATGACCGTCCTGGAAACTGAGACTCAAATAAGACGTACCTTGGCTTTCGGAATAGCTTCAGTTTCTTCACGCAACCGGTCCTTGATCGACTGAACCTGAAGCTCCATCGAGCTCAGCGCCGTGTCAATCGCCGATAAATCCGAGATGCTTCTCGCCGGATACACTGAAGGAAATTGAAATTAGGTCATCAGACGGAGATCTTGAACAACGGATTGAGTAATTGAGAGATAGAAACTCGGACTCACTGTTCCGAGCGATGATGAGTTCCTGCAATTCGCCGATTCGTTTCTGGAACGAAGCTATCAACGAATCTAGAGTAGATCCAGCTTGAGCTCCCTCCATGCTTCTCACGAATCTCTCAATCTCTCTCCCAATACGAGAGTATCTGTCCCACTTTAGGTTTTACAAATTAGAAATCGCAGAATTTGACTTTTCTACTTTCTCCTCTTCTTTTTTCTTTTGATAGGATCTTTCTCCTCTTCGTCTCTAGCTGTTAATTATTACTGTTACAAGATATAGTTTTGCTGGGCCCATTTAAGGCCCATAAGCACAATTTGCGACCCATTCTTATATGGGATCCAATATATATAAAAAAAAAATCATTCGCCCGACTCCCAAAGAGAATAGAAAGAAAATAAAAAAGAATTCTCCAAGAAAATAAAATCGAAAATCTCCCGCTCTCTCTCTTCTCCGATCATCTCCCATCTCCTCCGATCTTCTCCGATCGTCGCTGGCGCCGCCGGAATATAGGTAAGCCTGATTTATTTAGTACGAATTTCTTCTTGCCGTTAATTTACTCGATTTCTATCGCATGAGGCCGAAACGACTCAATTAGTATGAATTGTGAAATCTTGATGATCATCTTGGTGATCGATCTCACTAAGATCTGTCGATGTATCATCCCGAGGGTTGTTTGGTTTTTCAACTGATGATATAAAGTCTTCGACTTTTGAATCCATTGTGAAAAATCTGTCGATGTCTCATTCCGAGGTTTGTTTTGTTTTCTCAATTGCAGTGTGAGACCATGAAATCACCTACTTGTGAATCCATTGTGGAAATCGGGGTTAGTGATATGCCACCGACTCCTGAGGAACAAAGACATATCGTGACAGAGCTTACTCTCCAAGCTGACGAAAACTTTTTCCTTGTCTCAAACAGGTAAGATTTTAGTACTTATCTGAGATTTCGAATGAGTTGTGTCGTTCCGCTTCCTATATCCTTCGCCCTGTTCTGGATTTTTTAATGTGTATATATAACGCAGTTGGTATACAAGATGGAAAAAATTTGTTGGTCTTCTCACATCAGAAGAACTATCTCGTGGAGAACCTTCAGAAGTTTCCAACCCCGGAGAAGTGTCTAATCATGATCTACTTGACAGTAGAAAGGGTGCTAGTGATCCACAACATCGTAAATTGTTGGTTGAAGGTGTTGACTTCATTTTGGTTCCTGAAAAAGTTTGGAAAAAGCTTATTGAATGGTATCTCCTGCGTCTTGAATGATCCATTTTTTTAATATCACCAACTCTATCCATGTCTAACCTGCTTCTCTATTTTCAGGTACAAGGGTGGTCCACCTATACCAGATAAAATAGGCAGTGGTATAACTGATTGTGTATTGGGTCTTCCTGACGATCTGGTTCTCCAAATACTTTTACGTGTACCAAAGAACGACGACCAGATGCTCTCTTGCGTATGTAGGAAGTTTCAACATCTTGTACGCTCCAATGAGCTTAATAGGCTGAGGAGGAAACGTTCTGAAGAGTATCTCTAATCTCTTTCGTTAACATGTCAACTCTGAGACGGTACTGGTATACAGTGAGCCAAACTCAAGACGGGCAACATCAATTACTATCTACTGAAGTTCCAGCCCTTGATGCTATTCGGTCAGTTAACAGCTCAGGTTTGGTACTATATCTAGTCTGTGGATCTCAACGGCAACCTACACATGTTTGGGCATATAACTGGTTAGAGAGAAACGTTAGGCCATGTGCTAAAATGCCTGTTCCAGTCGTCTTCAAAAGCTCGGGTATGGTAGGCAATAGGTTATATGTGACAGGATGGCCTTACGATGATAAAAGGATGTTCCAGATAAAAGATAGGGAGTTGCAGACTTATTCACTCAATATCAATAGCCAGACTTGGGAACCTACCCCTCTCTTTGTTGAGCCGTCTCAGGAAGGACCTTGCTTAACGACCAGAATAACATCAGTTGATAACATCTTGGTTGGGTATGACATGAACTTTGGTCTGATGTGGTATGATGAGTTGGTAAATCACTGGAAAAAAGTTTTAGACTTAAACTCATTCAGTGCTAAGTCAGTAGCTGTTTCAGAGTACAATGGGAAAGTTGTGGTTATTTGGACAAAGCTGGGAGACAATGGAGTAACGAAAATCCTCTATTGGACAACTATCAAAGTGGAGATGATTACAGGAGGGTTGAGGGGAGTTGCTGATCCAAGTTTCATTGTTGCTGAGATACCTCAAGAGTATGAATTCAGGTTCTTTGTTTCAATGTTTGGTTAAAATTCCTATGTTTGCTCTCTTAGGTTTGGTATGAGTTGTATGACAAAACTATATTGATGTGGGTTGAGAGAACAGGTGCCACTTGATCGTTGATTGTAAATTTTTCTAAAAAAAATTTAAAATCTACCTGTTATACGTCTAGATATGTAAATAGTTGACACATTACAAGTTAAAGGTGTGAACAAAATTTTTACACTAACAGTTCCAAAGAGAGCCTCAAGAGAAAGAAAACAGAGGAAAGTGTTTGGTTCTCTCTTAATCTTCAACAAGAAACTAACCATGATCTAAAAAAGCTTCTTCTTTTCAAGTATTGCTTCAAGTTTATTAAGCTCAAGCTTTACACCCTATGATCAATAGCATAATAGGGAGTACCATTAAAGAGTTGCAGAACCTATTCTATGATGTTATTTTAAAAGTAATTGGTCAATCTTCTCTTTTCTAGCAATGGACTCCCAGTCTTTGGCTGCCATTTCGGTTTTCCAGTTAAGGTTGATGAGCATGAATTTTGGTGTTTCCTCGATTAGATGCGATTGAGATACCTATACCAACTTATATCTTAAAATGGCAATGCAAGCCATGGGTGTCATCATTTCAGTCTCCTTCAAGATTCATCGTCACGTACTCAAGTTTTAGGGATATACATTGGCTAGCTGTTGATAGTGAAGGAGAATAAGAAATTATTTAGGCATTCTTGTTACAAACCAATGATTTGGTCCAAATAGCAGGATAAATTTTATCTCGCATTTTAGTCTTTAAATCTATAAGCGATAGATAGAGAATCTGTAAAATATAAACTGACATTAACAAGTCTAAAAGATTTGCATTATCAAATTCGTTCCCTTAAATCAAAATCTCATAGTAACTCATCAAAAGTAGCGAAAACAGATACATAGGTTTAAATGCAGAGTTGTAGTGCAGACAATGAAATGGTCGTACTTGAAGGACTTCTAAATCGACTTTTCTCTTAAGCCACAAGAGTGCTTGCTGTTGTAGACTCACTGCAACAGTAAGAACAAAAATGTGTCAAACTTCAGAATAAATCAAGATCTTTGTAAACTGGTAAATGTTCAACTACTTACTACTTCCAGACGGGTGGGAGCTTCTTGGTCTTCTTGTAGTAACGAGCAAGCCGGTGGATTCTGCTCTCTACAAGAATCAACCTAAATTTGGAGTCCTTGTCTTTCCTGTTCCTCTCAAGGTGCTTGCGGATGGCAACAGCTTTCTTGATCAGGTGATACAGATCCTCAGGAATCTCAGGTGCAAGACCTTGGGAGAGAAGAATTACAAAAGCTCTATAAGTTAGATTGAATGTTAAATTACAAAAAAATAAGAAAACAAATAAGTAAGGAGACTGAATAGTACCATGAGCTTTCAAGATTCTCAAAATCTTGCTCCCAGTTACACTTTTCACTTGTGGAATTCCGTGAGAATCACGAAGAATGACACCAATCTGTGACGGGGTCAAACCCTTTTTTGCAAACTTGCAAATGGACTCATCAACCTAGGTTGATCATCAAAACAAAAAATCCGGACCAATCAGCGAAACACATTAGTCACAAAAATAAGTCAAGACACCACATATTAAGAGACTGGAGACTAATCAAAACATCACAATTACATAGACTAATCAACTCACAGATAAGACTAATTAAACCGAACTATCACAACGAGATCAAAACTTGATAGATCTTTCCTATAACAGATTTACTTAATCTTACCAACCATTTGTTAATATCACCACATTAAGAGTACAAACTTAACAAACAAACAGAAACAAATAAACAAAAAGCCACCATTTACAAATTTCAAATGCAGATGATTTCTTAACTCCGAATTTCCTAACCAAATTAGAAGCAACCAAAGAGTAAAGTCTACGAATCTTACATCCTGAGGGGTTGTCTTCAGCCAGCTCGGGGATGAACGCTTGTACGGCAGAGCAGATGCCGAGATACCCTTACTACAGAACACAAAACAGATGCAACAAAATGTAAGAGAACAAGTTTTTCAAATCGATACTCAAAATCAGATAGGAGAAGAGAAACGAACAGACGAACCCTCTACTGTGCATTCGACCCATGACTGCGACGGCGAAGAGATCTTCCTTACACTGAGATGTGTTCTTCTTCGGTTTCTTCCGGCTGGCGACTGCGCTCAAGGAGTAATCAAAAACCCTAAATGGCTCCTTTATATATATCGTATCTTCGCTAAGTGACTCAGGTCATTTTGTTCCGAGAGCTATTATGGGCCTTTGTTGTTTATATATAGGCCCATTATAACTAAAGAGGCTTGAAACACTTTTGACCCAATAGAAGAAGAAGTATAAACACATACTGTAAATAACTGACACCGTTTCACTAGTAGTGAAATATGTAGACTGGAGAGGAGATTCCAGTCGTAAATAGTTAGCATTTATTTTTTGTTTTGATAATTCGTATTTTAGTATACAACTTTGTGACTTGGGCTGAGCATTGTGTAATTTTAACTTTGAAACTATATCATCACTATTCTATATATAGGAAAACTTGGATATATAATCCAACAATTCTGATTAAAGTCTAATCATCAACAATCTACAAAGAGAGAATTTGTTAACAAATCAAACTTTACTATGTTTTAAACAAACGGGGAAGAAGACCTAGCTAAATTGGGTACCGCAATACCGGTTCATAAAGTTGCTAGACACGATATGGTGATAACCGTCAACCAAACAATCACATTACGTTACATCACACAGTTCCAGAAGACTACTCAATTAGAACATGAATGATATACACATTTTAAAACAAAACAATAACAAAATTCGAGTCAACAGCATTAAATTTGTTGCACAACCATAGTCAATAGACCAAGAGAATAATCAATATATTTCGTTAGAATTAAAAGGCTAGTATCTAAAATAAAGCTTGACTGCTTGAGAATGATCAAACAAACAAAGAAAAGAGAGAATGAAGGACACGTGAGAAGTGAGTTAAACAAATGTCAACGCGAAGTCCATTTCCTCAAAGCCAAACCACACCCATTTATTAACCTAACTGCCTAACCGTCTTTATCATCACCTTCCTTCTCCCTCAGCTTCCCCTTTTATATACAAACCCTAATTTCTTCTCTCTAAAGCAAAACCATTTCCTCTGTAAAACTAAACTAAATACGATCATGAAGCTCGTCTGGTCACCGGAAACAGCCTCTAACGCTTACATCCACACCGTTAGATCCGTAAGAATCCTCCTCTAGTTCAATATGGTGCATTTTGTACATCATCTTTTTATTCTTTTGATAATATATATGTTTGTGCATCATCTTCAAATTGTATGTCATCGAAGAAATCTTGACTTCGTATAAGAATTTCAATTTTATAGCTACTATATAGTCTTTCAATCCCTGTTTAAAAGTGTATATGGTTCTTGTTTACTCGATCTTGATGTATATGAACTCAAATCTTGATCTTAATTATTATATATGTGTGGCTTTGAAGTGTAAAAGCTACAAAGAATCGAGCGTGGCGGAGTTTTTATCGGCTACGGCGGCGGGATGGAACACGAGGCTGATCGTTGAGACTTGGTCACGTGGAGATCCGATCGCAACCAGCGTCGGGCTCGCCGTCGCGGCCATACACACACGTGGAAGACACGTGTGCATAGTTCCTGACGAGGAGTCGAGGTCTGAGTACGAGGCGGTGATGAAAAGAGCCGTTAGGAGTGAATCAACGGAGGTGATGGTTGGAGAATCGGCGGAGGACGTGGTGGAGAGAATCTCCGGCGTGGATTTCATGGTGGTTGATTCGAAACGCCGCGAGTTCGTCAAGGCGTTGGGGTTGGCGAAAACGAGCAAAATGGGCGCCGTTTTGGTGTGCAAAAACGCCACGCAGAAATCTATCCCTTGGTTTAAATGGCACGGTGTTTTGAGACGAGGCACACGTGTCGTGAGATCGGTGTACTTACCCGTTGGGAGAGGATTAGATATCGCACACGTGGGAACCAGTGCTGGTGTTGGTAATGATTTGAAAAAGCTTCCTAGCCGTTGGATTAAACACATTGATCCTCAATCTGGAGAGGAACACTTGTTTAAGCTTTAAGCAAAACATGCAATGTATTTTTCCTAAATTTCTAATCATGTTGATACATATAAAAGAATCTGGCCAAGTCAACAACGTGTGATGATGATTGATGATATGTTTTCAATTGTATAGCTTCCTTTTGTTTCGACATTTTCTCCCTAAATTACTCATTCGAATTAGGACAAGAGTTACACTCCCAAGAGAAGTGGTGTGGACTTGGTTTTAGACTTTCTTGATGTAATGGGATTAATACCATAATTTGTTGTAATCTCAGGTAATTACATAAATTAATCGTTTGTGCTTACGGACCTAATTACAAGTTTACAACGGTTAACCGGAATAACTTAAAAAAAACAAAAACATGAATCCACCATTTAAACTAAAAATAATAAGAAGCAGTTTATGGTGAATTTTTTTTTTATGTTACATTGTCAACTGATCAGTGTAATCTTTTTTTGTTCGTGTGTTTCTCTCTTTGACCTTCATAATATTCGTCTGTAATTTTGAAAAATATTGTTGACTAGTTTATCTATTTATAGGTTCTGTAATTTTGAAATACTACAATATTTAGGGGGTATTAGCTTAAATCTAATTTTCTAGTAAAATATCTCACGCCTAATCAAAAAAAATGGTTCGTACACGTGTCTAACAGTGAAAACCACAAATTATTTTGTTTTGAAGATAATTTTATATTTTACACATAAAACAATCTGAGGTGTAATATATAACTTTAGTTTATTTAGAAGTAAAAAAAAAAAAAAATTAGCTTAAATGAAGATTTGTTTCCTTCGTAAAAAACAAGTGTCCTATTAGACTAACTTTCATATATGTTTTAATGTTTTCCCAAATTTAAAGGTCAAAGACTCCAGAAAAAAGTAAATAAATTAAATAGCTTAGATAAGATACTTAAAACTTTTTTTTTTTTTTGCTAAGAGGATACTTAAAACTATTAAATCAATTTAAACAAAATTAATTAGGCTCTTCAACTTTTGGTTTAGACAAGAAATTTTCATAACAACAGTCTCCATTTTCTTGTCTCTCTCAAAGTTTATTCCATTTCTCTTCCATGTCTATATGATTCCCATGTCAGATTGCATTAGATCTTCTCTATTCTACGATGGAGACTCCACTATTATCACCATCCTCGTCGCCACCATCGCCGGCATCATCATCAAATGCAAGATCAGTCAGACGACGTTTGTTGGCACCATCATCATCTGAAGCAAGAGGAAACAGGATCGGATATCCGAATGGGCATGACATCGACTGGATAAGTGCACTTCCAGATGAGCTATTGGAAAAGATCCTTTCGAATCTACCCTTTAAGTCTGCTGTGAAAACAAGTTCTTTGTCTAGGCGGTGGTTGCACTTGTGGAAACATATGCTTCAATTATGTATGGACATGAGATTTATCATGGAAGGAAATGCCACACGAGATGTTGACCAAGTTTCTAGGCTTCTCGCGGAGTCCATGACCAAGGTTTGTTGAGTTTTCCCTTCTCCAATCCTTTACTCTCGCATAGGGTTTCAATTTAATATTTTTCTTTTGTGAAGTTGAAAGAATACACATATAGATCGACCTATATATAAACTGATGTTTGAATAAATTTTATAAATCTTTTGAAGTTGTGTGGTGAAAGAAATGTCCTACACATTCGATGAATTCAAACGTATTTAGATAAGCTGACGTGAGAAAGAAATTATAGATGACAAACTACCTCTTAGACACACTTGTTGATGTTTGGTGAAAATATATATAGCATTATTACACTGCCAAATAATCTTATCATCTAATGTATTACATAACGGTTTCTCGCGGTAAATAACTAGTTTAACGGTTTTTACGCGCCAATATCTTGTAGTGAAAAATCGTTATCTAATACAATAATTCATAAGTTAGATTGTATAGTGATAACTATTTAGTATTTAAGAGTGTATAGTGAATGAAAATTAAACAATATAGGATTTAGTTTATTCCATGTATATATATCTTTAAGTATAAATATATGATTATAACACTTTACAAGTAATTTAAAAATTTCTAATTAATTTGTGTTCTGCAGACTATAAACAATCACCGTGGCCGCGTAGAGAGCTGCACACTCGGCCATTTTGTGTTCCAATGTGAAGATGGTACGCTCGATAGGTGGATCCGAACAGTGACTCGTGTGAAACATACCAAAGAGCTTATACTTGTGAACTATATTGGACGTTGCATGTGGCCTATAGGTGGATACAATACGCTCAAGGTGTCCCCAAGGACATTCTCTCATCAAAGCCTCACTTCACTGTCAATTACTCGATACAATTTAACAGAGACAGAGGCCTTCAAAAGTTGTGGCAATCTTAAGACCCTTAAGCTTCTTGACATCATTGCCGATGTTAGTATCCTTAACAGGATTATAAGAAATTGCTCCTCTCTTGAGATGCTTGTGTTGCACATCACATCCCTGAGCAAACGCGGTGTATTGAAGATCAGGAACAAGAATTTAGAGGTCTTCCAAGTGGCTTGCCCTACTTGGATAGATAAAGTGAAAGTGAATGCAACTCGTTTGGAGATTCTGGACATCAAATATATCTATTGTGATATATTTAACTTCATCCTTGATGCTCCTAAGATCCGGTTTAATAGGAATTATTGGGATGGTGAGATTTACCCTCACATGAGCTACAATATTTCAAGTCTCGCTGAGGTACACATATTATAAGCAACTACGTTTTGGATATTTTGTGAAATAATTTATTAATCATATAGTTTTAATATGTTTGTTGTATATATATTTGTCAGGAGAAAAAAAGAGCTTGGTTTGAGGTTATGGTGACTCAATGTTTTGATAGGGTACGGACTGGATCTTTATCCGTGAGAGTAGACGTGACCAAGCCGAAAGAAGTCGAGATCTTGAAGGAGGTCTTACTTTTTTGGCGTCAGGAAATGAAGGAGCTGGAGATCATATTCAAGGTACACATTTACTTCATGGTTTTATTCTATGTGGATAAATAAATGTTGATCAGGTTTTGCTCATTCGTATGTCATATGCATACATATTTGACTTTTCAGAACGGCAATGCTCCTAGAGCAGAGGGTGAATCTTCTTCTATCAATGGTGTAAACCCGTTTCCAGATGCTTACTTCCGGGTTTCTAAGATGTGGCTGTACAATTTCGATGGTTCGAATGAAGAGGAGTTTGCCTTAGCGTCACGTTTTGTGACACAAGGAACAGTGACCGATAAGTTGATGATAGAGACATCGACGTATCCACCAATGAAGAAGTTAATAACAGAAGCAAAAGTTGCCAAGCTAATGGAACTTTCTCAAGGTAACTGTGATCTTACTATTGAATCTTTTTGATGATGAGTTCTGGTTCGAATCTATCCATTGATACTCTTTCCTTTATTGCTTTGAGGACTTTTATGCTTTAAAATTTCAAGAACTGTGTGTTTAATTTGGTATTGGTTCTGTATTTTAAAGTTTGAGAGATTTGGATATTTGGATATTTTGATGTTTTATTAGAACTATTTGATTTGGATATTACCTCATTCTTTAATATTGTGTTTCTGTTTTGGTCAATGCTTTTCAGAAGGGATTATGTAATAATTGCAGGACAAAACTAAGTTGCATAAAGTTGATTCAAACAAATCATTCGTTTCTACATTTATAACAAGATCATATATATGAACTATTTGAAGAATATGAACATATATGTGGCCAACAAAGCTAACTTGTAATCTTGGTCATTTTAGAAACCCACAATTTAATGATGATTCCGTAGGAAGACATCTACACTGCCTAAAGTGAAACATCAATCTTCATGTTAGTAGATTTCTCCTTGAAATGCCAACTTCCTCTGTTTTCTAAGTATTGCTGTTTTACATGGGATGATGATGATGATCAAAGTCATCTTCTTCAGAAGCTACTGGGAATCAAAGTCGGGTTTCGAAGGGTATTCAAGTCCCTGCAGCTCCGGCATTCGCCTTAGATCTTCTTCTGTATATCCTGGGATGAACCAGTATCTCTTATCCATTCCAAATACCTATACAATGGAACCCCAAACGTGAGGGAGAGAAGAAAACTTATAACTTCCAAGGCACATTCAGATGGAAGGAGGAATTAAGCCATTGGCTTTAACTAACTAACCTGTTCAAAGTTTTTCTTTTTACCGAGGTCATACCGCCACTTTGTACTGGTTTTCTTCTCATATGCCTGTTCACAACTCAACACCAGGAAAAATTCATGAGAAAGAGACTTCTTTCTTGGGATGTTCTAAGAAAAGTGAAGACCCAAATTCTCATTAGAGCAAAGAAAGCTAAAAGCTTAAGCCATGGGGAATGAACCAAAAATGTAAAGAGTCTAAAACCTATATTTTCACTCGAAAGCTCGAAGCTACAGCAAATGGGATTCACCGGAGGTGTAAGGAGACAAAACATCTAAAATGACCAGAAATTACCTCTATCGTTGTAGTATTACCAGCTACCAATGAAATGTGCATGATCAAGAAACCCATCACGCTCAAAGCAAAGGCCAAGTTTAAAACTGTCGAATGATGAAACAACGTGAGATTGATTAATAAACTGAAAACACACCAAATACCATATATAGATAGTATACGGACATCCAAAACATACCAAATGCAAGAAAAGTGGTGGCAAGAGTTCCTGGGGTTCCAGGTATTTCTTCATCACTAAAGAACGCAATGAAGTGCGGCATTAGAACCAAAGTCACAAGGCTCGTCTCTAAGAATGTGTAGAACTGCATTTGAACATTATAAAACACACAAATGTTGTGACAAGAGTAGCAGATTACAAGCTAAAGATGGAATATAATTAGTGCTAAGAAAAAACATACTTACCAAGAAAAGAAGAAAATACTTATAATTCAGTGCTCCTACACAGTTAACAACCCAAACACAATGGTGATCCATCTTCAACACACACCGACCACCTGGATTGAATCGATTTCACAACAATTTTCAGTTTCAAGACTCTACTATATATATGGTACAGAAGAGAAGAATCTCTTACAAACAGAACAATGATGACAACGGGAAGGTTTTAGTTGATTGCACTTCCTACAAAACCGAACTCTTGGGTTTGAAGAATCGGGCTGTAAACCAACGAACTCCAAACTGTTTAACGGATCAGATTCACCTCTTTCTTCATCAGTAGATGGTCTCCAGTTTGGAGGCACAGCACCAGGATCAGTAAAAACAACAGAGAAGTAGCTCCACAAAAGCATTGCCAGCTGCAGCAAATGAAAACACATACTTGGCTAAATTCACAAAACTTCCATCTAAAAGAGAACAACATTTCACATCTAAAGCAACAAAAGAAGAGGAGAAGATAATAAAAACATAACTTTGTTGACCAAATCGACTAAAGCAATAAGCTGTGATCGAGAGATTGAATTGGCGAAGATATTTACTTACAAGGAAATGGAAGAGGATTAGGATAGTAAGAGCAGCAAGAGAATCAAGGCCACCTTGAGCTAGTGCTGCAGGACCATAGTTAGTCAAAACGACGGCGTAGTAAGTAACACCGACAACACCAAGAACCAAAAGGATCATGATCGATCCAAGACCTCGTAAGGCCGTGCAGAATTTGAATATGTTCCAGGCCATTGCTGTACCAGATCTATGCATAGTCTCAAAGCAACGATCGATTACAGATGTTAAAAGAACAGCCTTTTTTTGGGATCTCCTTGAGGGTTGATTTCGTGATACTTGAGTCAGAGGAAAGACGCGTAGTCAAAGAAGATAATTCAAGGCCAAAGAAGTGTGTTTCTGGGGAAATTTTGAAAAGGTCTTTAAACCTTTCCTTAGGGCTTCTAAATCTGGGACAAAAAAAAAATCAGAAAGAAATCAAATGAGAGTGAAACAGAGACCCCATGGACGAGGAATGATGATGGACTATGAAGATGGTGGGGAGCTTTGAAGAATGAGACTTTTTCTCCTTCTTGGATTCGTTTTTCCCTTTTGGAGCTAACAAGAAATTTCAGACCGAACTTAAGATTTGTAGTTTAATGACTTTGGGTTAATCAAAGTCTTTCAGAAGCCCAAAACTGTTTTAATAACATGGTTTTTTACTACCGGCGTCTATTATGTGATTTTGGTAATTTCCCCGATTGGACCAAACCGATATTTCCCTTAAATGATTTAGTGAGGGGAAAACGACAAATGGAAAAAAAAAGAAAAAAAATAGGAACGCCCACCGTGGGGCTCGAACCCACGACCACAAGGTTAAGAGCCTTGCGCTCTACCAACTGAGCTAGACGGGCTTGTTGTTCAATTATCTAACTAGTAAGTTATTTTCGAATGCTAATCGGATATGAGTTTGTCATGTCTCGCAAGAAAGAAATTGACTAATAAGATAGTAAGGTTCACATGAAACAATGCCAATAAATTCTCTAGGCCTTGGTCCATAATATGATTCAATGTGAAGTTGTGTCACACTGCTTTAAAATTTAATATAAGTGGCTGACTAAAGTTCTTTATGTTATTGGGCTTCTGAACATAAAACTCGTTTGGGCCAATAATAGATGGATATTAGTAAGCCCTTTAAAAGTTGAACAAAGTTGTTCTTCTTCTTCCTACTCCAAAGACTAAAGACGAACCTGAGCGTACAGTGAAGATGGCTTCCATGGCGTCACCGACTACTTGCTTGTACCACCACAAATGCCGGAGAAAACTTGGTTCCTATCCCCGTCTTATACGAGCCTCGATTCCAGATAATTCAGATGACAAACATCCCAAGCTAATTAGTCGAAGGTACTCTCTCTCTCTGACATGTGAGACTCTGTTTATCACCGAACCAACTCACCAAGTATCTAATTTTGAAATTGCTGTGAAATTGGAAGAGAGATCATTCTTAGAAGCAGTGAATTAGCTATGATCGGAGCTATATTCCAGCTCAGGTACGTTTTCTTCGACGGGATTCTACAATCTACGGCTCAGGTGTTATGATGGTTTTAAGACAACATTGATGATGACTGATGTGATGAATGTGTTGTGATTGGTTTAAGTGGGAAAAAACCAGATTATCTCGGAGTACAAAAGAACGAGAGATTGGCTCTATGTCCTGCCACTAATAACTGTATCTCCACTTCAGAGAATATCAGTGATCGAGTGCATTATGCTCCACCATGGTAAAATCAAGAGCTTTGTCTTCATATTTCGCTCTTCTTCTTTTAAAGTAGTTGTTCATCTAATACTGTTGCTGCGTGTCCTGGTGTTGGCAGGAACTATAATGAAGGAAGGAAAACACCTGTGAGAAGAGAAGTTGCAATGAAAGAGCTTCTTAATGTGGTATGAACCTTTAGACATGAACCTAAAATCTTAAGCATTATAAGTTTTTGATAATCCCCCCGTAGTTACAGCGGTTCAATGACCATTTTTGCAGATCAAGTCGGTGAAACCTGACAAATTTACCCCTCGGATTGTGGAAAAGAAGGATGATTATGTTCACGTGGAATATGAAAGTCCAATCTTAGGGGTAAGTAAATTAAAGCTTTCTATTGTTTCTCTGTCGACCAACATTGCCAACGAAATTGGACAAACTATGATTCTTTTGGCAGTTGGTAGATGATGTTGAATTCTTGTTTTCTCCTGGGAAGAACTCAACAGTGGAGTATCGATCTGCATCCCGTAAAGGGAACTTCGACTTTGATGTGAATAGAAAGCGAATCAAGGTAATGAACTTGACTGCCGAAATATCTCTGTTATTGCCACTGGCTAAACAGCTTATCTGCTTAATTATTTTTCTCATTTTTTATACGTGGAGGCATTGCGACAAGAGCTGGAGAAGAAGGGGTGGGTATCCGAGAACAGCTTCTGATTAAGGACACAAAGGAGTTTCCAGATTCTAATCTTGTCTAAATTTAACTTCGTAATGCAATGCCCTATGTAAAAACATTGCAATAAATGAGAGAAATAGTGTTTGAACACATGGACTTCAGTGATTCATACAAAAGGAAACACAGTTTTGGAGAAACTTCAGATACGAGTCATGATTTTAACTGTGAAGTATCAGATCCAACAGCAGTTCATACGAGTTCTACAACTCTGGAAGCCTAATGTTGAAGTGACAAATAACAAAACAGAAGGACATGGTTGGCTAAATGCACGGAAGGAGCTTAGTCTTTCCTCAGGTCCATGAGTTCAGTCTTGATGCCATCGGCCTTAAGTATCATAATCTCAAGCTTGTCTCCCTATTGCAGCAAAAAAATTCCACAAATCATTAGTCAGAACAAATAATTAAGAAAGATGAAGTAGTTGTGCACCATTGATGTCAGGGATATAAACTAAGCAAATCTTTTGGTAATATCTTGACTAAATGTAAATGATATGAACACGTAGGGCAAATGAAGACACAAACAGGGCAACTTACAGTGTAGATATCCCTCTCTGTGGCAGATGCGAAAACAGTTTTAACCAAGTCAACTGCTTCGGCTTCTGAAAGGGGTGTGTTCGAATCCTACATGGTGGAAAAAGACAACTAAGTAAGCAACTGAATGATTAAGTTTTATGCTTTACAATGCATAACGCCAAAGCACGATTAAAATATCAACAAACCTGTTTAGGTAGCAGCAGAGGACTTGGAGATTTGAGCTGGTTGTCAAGGAAAGGCATGATGAGTGTGGAACCAGAACCTTGAGCACCGTATCCAACTCTCTCATATGATCCAACAGCATCGTAAGTAAAGACACACCCTTTTCCTGAATATAATCAAGAATAAAGATCACACAATGTACCTCTTCTATAGTCACATCATAACAAAGAAAAGAAGAGGAAAATTTTACCTTCTTCGTCAAGACCTCCTAGAACATTAAATGCATAATAGGGGAAAAACCGCTTGAAATAAAGCGTGTTGGAGAGAAGCTGGGCCATTGCAGGACAGCTCATCTGCTTGTTATGCTGATGTTGATAGATCTGCAGGACACCAAACACAGAGAACTCTTACACAAGTCCTTATATCCTTAGAAATATATATCTGATATGCAAACTGCAGAGGATGATACATATTTGATCAAATGACAAAAGGAAACCTCACCAAGTGTCTGGATTTAAGAACCTTCTGCAATGCTTTCACATCAGCCTGAAAGCCAGAGGAAGACAACACAGCTTTGTCTGCTCTGGAAAAGTTAAAAGAAGACAACAACTTAACAAGAGTCTTGCAAGTTAAATGAGATGAAAAAACCCCAAAAATTCTATCTCAGGTTGCATAATCCAAAGAACTACACACATTGTAAACATAAGTAATATGAACACAAGTCAGCGAAGTGATTACAGAATCGAAGAATAATCAATGTAATTACAAAGTCCTATACTAGAGATACACTATACACAGCTCAAAAGTAAAAAATTCATACGTAGTATTCCATTCCATCCAAATATATAACCATTTTCAGCCAGATCTACGAATAATAGATTGAAAAAACCCAGAAAAGTTGCAAAAACCCTAATAATCTACAGGAAAGCCCAAAATTGAAGTATTGCCGGCACTGAAAATTACTCCGCAGAAGAATTGAAAAGTGAGGAATTTGACAGAACAAGAGTGGGTACTTACAGTTTATGGATTTTTGAGTAATCGCGACTAAGAATACTGTAACCAGTAGACATACGAGTATCGGCGGCGATAACGCAGTAATCCGATCCAGCGATGGCCACACATGTTCTGAATAAAAACAAAACGATTAGATACATAGCAGTAAATCAAATCACAAAGGCTCAAATAGCAAATTAGAAGAAAGAAGACGACACTAAGCGAAGAAACTCATAAGGTTGATTAATAAAGGTCACAAGATCCGTACCCTCCATTGTTATCGTAAGGAGACCAGTTCGCGTGCTGCTTAGTCATGGTGGATTTGAGAGAGAAGCTTAGAGCTAGGGCTTAGAAGAATCGAAAATGGCAGAGGAATAGCTTTCCGGGTTTGTGTTTTTGATGTCAAAGAAACTTCGGATCTTAGCTCTGGCTTTGTTTACAAGAAAAAGCCGGAGACCCAAAAACGGTTACGTTTTTGCCCTGGGAAATTACGGACTGTAACGATTTCATATTGGGCTTTATATTGGACCTTATCTGCTTTATATTGGGCCTTATCTGGGTTTAAATTTCCTGGGATTTTTTTCTTTTTTTGTTCTTCTTCTTCGTCTTCTTCAATTTTTCTTTCATTTCAAACTCGTAAGCTTCTTGCATTTTCCTCTTAGACCATTGATTGTTGTCGTACTCGTTTCCGTTCTATTGTAGAAACTTTTACCCTAGCTTAGTCTAGATCTGGTTGAAACCTTAATTTCCAGGAAGATGTGGAGTTTCATGTTGTTCTTGTAAAACTTGGAGTCCTTTGTAAGGATTTGAAGCTGGGTTCCTCGAAAAAACCATTCCTTCTGCTCTTACTCTAGCTACTTCTCTCAATTTTTCTTCTTTAGCTTCCCTGACTTAGTGCTACCAATAAATTCTTTGCATTTGAGGAAAGTTGGGAATTTAGGGTTTTTGGGTGTGTGCGTGTGAAAACAATGGAAGCACTTGTTGTTGATGCTGGCTCTAAACTTCTCAAAGCAGGAGCAGCAATTCCAGACCAGTCTCCTGCCATGATAATTCCATCTCAAATGAAACGAATGGTTGAGGATGGGTCTTCTTCAGCTGATAACCCCACCACTGGGTTTGAAGATGTCACTCTTGATCCTATTGAAAGGGGTTTAGTTAGAGATTGGGATGCTATGGAGGATCTGTTGCGTTATGTAGTCTACACTGGACTTGGATGGGAAGAGGGAAACGAAGGCAATATACTCTTCACAGATCCACTATGTACTCCTAAGGTTCGTATCTCAACTTCCTCCCTTGTTATTAGTTTAAAGGTTTAGAATTTAGAATTCTTGTGAAGTATCTTTTCAATTTCGATAATCCTGTTCCGTTGGATGATTTAAAATGATCCATTTTGTTCTTATAGTACCACATTTTAGATAGCAAAATGTTAGTTTTTTCTGAACGTTTCGACCTAATTTGGTGCTGGAAATGTTTGTTTGTGGACAGGCTATTAGGGAACAATTGGTACAGTTGATGTTTGAGACATTCAATGTCTCTGGTTTTTATGCATCAGAGCAAGCAGTGCTGTCCCTTTATGCTGTTGGACGCATCTCCGGTTGCACTGTTGATATTGGTCATGGGAAGATAGGTATACTAGCTTGGTTGACCTTTGTGATAATATGATCTGACTCGTTGTTGTGTCTTCTCATGTTGTCATAATTCTCTGTGTTATGTGACTTTTATGTTTCATGAGATTTTGTTTCCCTTCACTAACCTTTATCCAGGCTCTAAAACGTTTTGTAAAACCAAATACTTTTTGTCCTGTAAGTTGCAGTAGGTTGGAGGTTCCTTGTGTATGTGGCTGGGCATTATTAAGATGATGTTGTGTCTGGTGTTTTTAACTTTGTGATTGATACCACTCTTGTCGTTAACTCTTGTACAATGTCCCTCAGATATTGCCCCAGTTCTTGAAGGTGCTGTACAACACATTGCCTCGAAACGGTTTGAGCTAGGCGGAACCGAACTTACAAAATTATTTGCCCAAGAGCTTGGAAAATCCAACCCGACAATGAATCTCAACATGTCTGACATTGAAAAACTGAAGGAGCAGTATGCAAACTGTGTTGAAGATGAAATTGCTTATGAGAAAACTCAAAGCTGTGAAATCGAGCAGCATACTCTTCCTGATGGACAGGTTTGTGTGACTACATTTTTTAGATTCTACATCTTGTGTACCTTATACGTATAGATAACAAAACCATGGCCTTATTAGGTGATAAGCATTGGGCGAGAGAGATACTCTGTTGGTGAAGCTCTGTTTCAGCCGTCGATATTGGGACTGGAGGAACACGGAATCGTTGAGCAGCTGGTCCGCATTATCTCCACAGTTTCATCTGAGAACCATAGGCAGCTCTTGGAGAATACTGTACTCTGCGGTGGAACAACCTCCATGACAGGTGATAACAATACTTGATACACTTGTGTTCTGATATCTTGTGGGTTGGAAAGCTAAATTGTTTTGTTGGAATGGTCATTGGCAGGATTCGAAAGTAGATTTCAGAAAGAAGCAAACTTGTGCTCATCTGCTATTAGACCAACACTGGTGAAACCGCCGGAATATATGCCGGAGAATTTGGGGATGTATTCGGCCTGGGTTGGAGGAGCCATACTAGCTAAAGTGGTGTTTCCGCAGAATCAGCATGTTACTAAAGCCGATTATGACGAGACTGGACCATCGGTGGTTCACCGGAAATGTTTCTAGAATGCAAAGACAAGACCATCGGTAGTTGTTGTAGCTGAGGATTTTTTATTTTACTTTTGTTGTGATTTGAAGATTTGGACCAAATTTAGTAGTAAAACACTTTCAAATACAATATCATTCTAATGAATCAGCATGTTAGCCGATTATTAAGAGACCGGACCATCGGTGGTTCACCGCACCCAACTTTGGTAGTTGTTCTAGCTGAGGATTTTTTAGTTGTGTTTTATTTTAATTTCGTAGGTTTTACCAATTTGTAGGAGGAATAAAGAAGAAGAAAAACCGTATAAATTTGGAAACTAATTTTTGTAAATGGTTTTTAAAATTTCTAGGGTTCTTTACCCGTACGTCAATTGGTCCTTATGGTATATTGCCAATATTGGTATATACGCTTCAAGTATTGACATATTGGTTAAAGAATTAAGCGAAAAAAAAAAAGAGGATATGTATGGTAAGTAATTACCGTGAAAATGTTAAAATTTTGTTATTTTACTTATAATAATAATAATAATAAAAAAACAAATTTCCATTTTGGTCCAAAAACAGATTAAGAAACTATAACCGGCATAGGTAAAAAGGCAGGTCCTTAGATTTTTCAACTCAGAGCGATATTGCGTACGCATCCGTTAGGTTTGTCTACGAGGATCCTCAAACTGATAGAGAAACCCTAATTTATGTTGTAGAAGCAGTCATCCGTAGATTTGCTAGGAATCTTATTAGCATACTCTGTTTCTTTACATTAGGAATAAAATCTTATGGGATTTGGGTAAAAGTTTTGAAGTTTGATTGGTTTTGATTTTTGCATATGTGATCATCAGAGTGCGTTTCTTCATCGCCGGTTACTATGTTGGTAAATTGGTTCGCTGGGAAACACATCAAGAAGATCAATGATCTTCAAAAAGCAATAGATCAACTACGCGAGGTATGATTCTTTGTTTCATACATGTATTCTATTTAGAAAACTGTATCTTTTCTTTTTGAGCCAACTATTGCTGTAAGACATTGTTTGACTGTTAACTCTGAAACGACAAAACTTAACTTGTCAAAGTGCATTAGACTTTTCTTTTTTTTTTTGGTAAAAAAGTGCATTAGACTTGTGTTGCTATAAGTATGTTGCTGTATTCTTCTTTCTCATAATATTGTATGTATGCTCCCATATCATTCAACTCAGTGGCTTGATTTCAATACGAAAAATGAGAAATATTGCCTGGAGGATGTTGCCATACACTCTTATTACCTGGAGGAGGCTTTCAGACACACTCGGGATGCAAGAGCACTTGGGTTTGAGGACTGTTGCCATAATGAGTCGTATGGTCAGTATGGTAAAATCTTTTTTTCACTTTCTGTAACCATCCAGGTCTATTTATATGTTTGATTTTGACTCTGCCCGTTTCCATGTAGGGCTTTTATCACTTTTGGAATGCAAAAAGTCATCCGCAGAAATGGCTGAGTACTATGGGAATACTCGTCGGTCTGTCCTAAGGAAGGTGAGGTTTTTTCTTATTCAGTTTTCTAAAGTATTTTATCAGTTTCCCTTACGTTGAAGGGATTATCTCAGCTTTTTGTCTATCACCCATTTTGTGCAACAGTTGGTTTTGCTAGAATATCGCAAAAAGAAAGAGATTGAAGCTCTCACCACCGCCCAAAAGATTAGAAGGCTTTTTTGTTTCCTCTGTTAATTTTTATGTTGCTCTCGTATCTCTCTCTCTATCTATCTAGCTCATAATGTTATTCCCTAAAATTATGAATACGAATGGTTCGTTGGTTAATGAACAAATTTCCTAGAATCTACGCATGTATGCCAACTTAGTTATGAACCAGTTGTGTTGATTCTTTTTCTCTGATAATTTATAAACATGGGAAAGCATTGACCTATATACAAACACCCGAACCAGTAAGATGATGATACTCCCGCCCGCGCGCTTTCCTTTGTTGGTAAAAAGACTAAACCTTAATGCTATGATGACACTTCAGTGTGTTTGCGAGAGTTATAATACTTTTACGTCTTTACAAGGATACTGATTTGGACCAAGTTAAGTAGTAACTTTCAAATACAGTACTATATTTACTAATAGGTGTTTTGTTGCTCTAGTGTCTTCTGAACAACTTTTGAATTTTAAATAATAAATGAATTTGGTTGACAAACGCAAACGTTTTATACACATAACCAGTACCACAACAGCAAATCATAATCCCGGTGCACCAGACGCAACCGTTAGCCGTTTTACAAATATTACGAATTCACCGTGGGAACAGACACAAATGTGTTTTGTCAATTTTCTCATCAAACAAAGTTTCTGATTTGAAAAATTTCCAGAAAATAGCAGTAAATCGGGTACATTTTGAAGCAGCTTTCTAAAGGGGAGGTTTAGCGAAAACCGGCTCGAACCTCTTCAAACGAGTACTCAACTGCAACGGCTTCTTCCTCCATTCTCTTCTCCACCGCAGGAGTGAACGGCGTTGTTGCCTCCATCATTGCGACTGAAGCTCCCGGAGTTGTTGGTACAGCTCTTTTGTTTTCTTCGTTGGTTTTAGGTGTCAAGATTCTCTCCTCTAAAGATGATGGTTTTGTTGTGTAAGTGTCCCTGTGACCCTCTGGGGAATTCAAGATGTTGGAAGTAACAGGTGAAAGAGGTTTCCTAAGCATTGGAGATCTCCCTTTGCTCGTCACAGTTTTTCCTGAAACAGAGACGTTCTTTGACCTGAGACGACCTGGAAGCTCTGAGTTTCTCCGTCCTACACATTTGACACAAATTCTCTTTAGTTACTCTCTTTCTTGGTCTATGTAAACCAAAAAATCTTGTCTGAATTATTATGCACCTGAAGGAGCTGGAAGAGTCGAATCTCTTCTACCAGTAGTGTTCTGGTCATAGTAGCTGCTCTGAGTTTTTGCCTTCTCAGGCTTCAAACGTTGATTAAGCATGGCACCACCAAGTGAGAGTTTTCTGTTCATGGCAGCATTTACTGGCGTTCTCAATGGCTTCTTTCCGCTCTTATTTGGGCTTGGTTTAGACCCGTAAAGGGCTTCTTGTTCTGTTATGAGTTGTCCATGGAGTTTCTTCAGATCCTGAAATGAAAAGTAACAATGTCAAAGTTGCTAATGATGCTTTTGGTTCAGCTGCTAAGAATTTGCTACTAGTAAAAACAAGTTTTCCTTACTCTTTGTCTCTGTTTTTCATGCTCTTTCTCTTCCCATAGAGTCTTGTACTGATCAAGCATCGTTAAAACTCGGACCTGAACAATTCAAAGGAGCGTGCTTTTGACATTTTGTGTATAAAATGCTGACTTGATAAGTGAGAAGCATAGAGTCATTAATCAGTAAAGATACTTACACCATCATATAAGAAGTCATTTCCTCTTTCATCCTCCCAAGCAGTGACTTTGGCAGTCAAAGCCTCCACCATCCCTGCATCAACAGCCCCAGAGAGTTATGGACAAAATATCATAAAATTCACTTTCTAAGTAACCAAAGTATGGATTGAGGGTTTTTGTTATATAATATAAAAAGCAAGAATGTTACCCGGAAGTTTATTGACAAGTACACGGGCTTTTTCTGCACGCTTCAATGTAAGATGTGCTCCTCTTCCAGCGTTGTACCTGTTATCATCCTGAGAAGCCAACAATGTGAGGACTAAAAAACAGATTGAAGCAGAGATATAGATTGATATTAAATTTCTAACCCGATTGTACTCTTCCAGCCAAGACTCTTCTTCACATACTGACATCCATTTCTCCACTTTTTCAAGAATCTCCTTCCTGCTTGAAGCTTCCTCTTTGACCTTTGCAATCTCGGAATCAATTTGATCTAACAACTGCTCAGGATCCTTGAAACCTAAAAGATGAGGGGAATCACGTTATTATTAGCATGTGCATATTGTTTACTACCAGTATAATAAGCATAACTTCAAACAAATAAGCTTTTCCTAATAATGGTTTACCAGATTCTATAGCTTCAACTGAAAAGTTTTCCGATTTGAGAACTTCGGTGGCCATGTGCATCTTCCTTGATATTTCCTCAAGCTCAAGCTTCTTTCTTAGTATCACCTCTTTGATCTTAGTTATTTTGAGCTTGCTAAGCCTAGTGACTTCATCCTCCACCTGTAATATCAACCGACATTATAAAAACCATGGTCTCTAGTCTGCTGTAAACGGATAGATTAATAATACAGGGAGGAAATTAAAAAAGGTATTTTCTGGTTGCACTCACGCGTTTGATGGAAGCAACAGAAAGTATGTTAGCCTCAGTTATTTCAGGCTCAGACAAAGCGATGCTGCAGGTGACATTGTGAAATATATTTTGCTCTTCGGCAGGCGTGTCCAGCAGATTCCATAGCTCCAACAGGGAGACTGCAAGATCTTGAACCTGAAAATTAAATGATACGAGTCAGAAACCATAAGCACGCAGAAAAATTTACAAAAAGAGCTCAAAGACTTCTCTAACCTTCTGCATTCTCTGTAACTTGACCTCTCGTAAATTCAAAATCATCATATCCAATTTATCAAGAGTACTTCTGCTCACATCCCTGGTGTTAGAATCAACCAGAGAGGAATGAATCCCTCTTAGCATGTCCTTGAAATCTTCACCAAGCACCGAGCACAATGAGGTAAGCGTATTCTGCAAACGTTCTACCTCTTCCAATCTTTTGCTCTGCAATTTGAAAAGAATCAATGTTAACATAAAGAAAAACAGGAGCATAGTAGAATCTTGTGTGTCCCATATATCAAGAAATCTTAAAGGAAAACCAACCTTTTCGTTCTGGAGTTCAGCCAATTGCCTACGCAATTCCTCCAACTTCTGAAGTGAAAGATCAGTCTCTTCTGCAGCAAACTTGTTCAGATCATCTGTAGGATTTCCAAGTTGAGATGACAACTTGAGTAACTGTTCAATGACTTCGTTAAACCGATTCATTCTCTCAGCTTTCATTTTGCGCAGTCCCTCCAATTGAACATTAACATTCTCAAGCTCTTCCTTCAAGTTTTCTCCCAATCTGCTGTTAGACTGTAAAGAAAACAAGACACCAAGAAGAAGGGAATAAAAAACATGACTACTTGCCATAACTCAAGCAGACAAACAAACAAACAAAAAGTGATCAAAACTTAAAATCTTGAAAACACTTACATGAGTCTCTTGTCCACCCATAGAAGAGCCAATGGCTGCAATTTCCGCTCTTCCAAGAGCGATTTCTTTAAGCAAATTGGCTTTACAGCGACTAGCCTCTTCAACTTTTCGCTTGTAAACGGAGAGACACTCCTTCTCGATATCAGCCAAAGCAGCATCTTTTTCATCCTCCGTCTCTCCCATCTCATTCCATATTTCCTGATATTCAAAATTGGTAAAAATCTAACATTAAATACCGGAAAAAGAAACGAATATGTTAAAAATCCTTCAGGGAAAAAAACCTGCAGTTGACGAAGTAACAATCCACATGTCGTCTCGATTCGAGAAAACTGCTCTGTTGAATTCCGCATCATGATGATTAGAACACGCTAAATCCTTCTCTCTAAACCTTAAGACAAAAAATCCCCAATTATGTAACATCACCAATTAGGAAATCTCGTAACTCCGATTCTCGATCACAACAGAAACCAGATAATTCGGAAACAAATACAGAACTTTTCTCTGTTTCCACCACAGAATTGAAATCACAAAAAATCAAGAAAAGAGCCTACCTGGATCTAAACAAGAAGAAGTTGTGAAGTGAAGAGGATGATCAAAAGAAGGAGAGAGCAAAATTAGGGTTTATAAGTGCTGAGAGTAACGGATGTAAAAGTTAAAATTTGAACAAGGAGCGGGAGGAGGGTCCGTTACGATCCGAGGCTCACGATTTTGGTTGACGTGGAATCATCTGACCCGTTGGTTTGAACCCTCTTTCCGTTTTTGCCTTTTTTCCTTTTTTCTTTAACGGATCAGATTTCGTGAGCGAGCAATAAAGCCTTCGAATTTTGAAATAGGGATATGTTCGGATTTTTTGAAATATAATTGGCTCCAATTTTGATCCTAAATTTAATTAAAAATGGTAAACGATTATAAGATTATTTTCGAAAAGCACACTGAATTGACGACTGTGTTATTTTGGAAGTTGCTTTGTTGAAGTCTATCAAATCGATAAATTTGATATAGTAAATTTCTAGTTATATACACACGACTTGGAATGAGATTAATCTGTATAATTTCTTATTCCTATATTATGTTTTGTGTATGCCTTTTATATGTTGTTTCTTGCTCGATCAGCGAATACCGCCGCAAATTATACCTTTTTAAAGTTTCTTCCGACATTAACTAACTAAAAGAAATTCTACGATATAAACATCCTTCAACGGATTAGTATTTTTTTTTTTCAAAGAGGGTTTTGATTAGTATTCATTGTTAACTTGCACAGTATACTAATAATGTTAATTGTATGAGTTTTACAGAAGCATTCCAGCATAACAAATCTCCGACAGAGTTTGGATAAAATGTTTTACAACTTTATTAGATGGAGAGACTAGAGAATGTGGGTTTCTAAGAGCAACTACAACAGGGGCTTTAAACCTGGGTTCTCTTTGTTTTTAACAAAAAAAAAATCAATTAATGACATAACTAGAGAGAACCGGCTCTCAATAGAGAGGCTTTTGGTGGGTGAAGAGTCGATGACGTGGCGCTCTGTGAGTGGCCGAAGTGTATAATATATAAAAAAAAAAAAACCCAATCGCCAATTTTTCCTTCTCTTTCGCGACTCGTTTCTCTCTTCTCTCTCTTTCTGGGCGATATGAAAACCAAAAAATCGAAAGGTTGGATCCGTTGATATCTAATGCTTCCACGGCGGAGAATGGTCTGATTTAGAAGAGTGGTGAAGGAGAAACAAGCGTCATCAACGAATCTCCATCGACGGTGGGTTTCCGGCGAATCGACAGAAGTTGGGATTCTTAATCGGTGAGATTTTTGACCAATTCCGGGAGCTTCTTTCAACAAATCGGTATGTACATCTAATAATTGGTTATTTTATAGCATGGATTGATTAATTGGATTGTATGAAATGAAGAAATTGTTAATTTTTGTGTCAAAATTATGATTATAACGTTAATGGGACATGTTTGTTTGTAGAAGTTTAGGTTTTGGGGATTTAAAGTTTAGGTTGCGGATTTAAAGTTTTAGGATGATTCTGAATTTTAACAAAGTTTTAGGATGATTCTTTGACGCCATGTTTTGCTTCTGATGATTCTGAATTTTAGAGAGACAACTCTCTATATTCTTCTTGTTTTGCCTATATATATTTATATATAGGATGAGTCTGCATTCGTATGGTACTCTTGAGAATTGTTCCTGGACAATGCACGGTGAGTTTTTTTTTCCTGCGATATGCATGTATGTCCACAAATAAGTACAGTTCCTTGATTCTAAGTTAAGAGTCTGAAGTATGTTTCTATCCCCATTTCAACTATAAGCTACTTTGTAAGATGGTCTCATGTTGTACCGGCGTCATTTCATATTACCATGCTTCTTTCCTCGAATTGTTCTTTATTTCATCTTAGACTCAATTGCTAAAGTTTGTTTCTTAATTTCTGGTCTTGGCTCATGTTGATTATTTGCTGTCATTTCTTTCTCTGCCTTTTAGGATCAAACTGGGTTGTGATTAGCTCTTGTTTCTGGACCGACGAAGCAGTTTGGTGAAGCTCCTTGGTGTGCCAATGGTTGATGATGATAAATCATCAAAGTCAAAGAAATCTTCATCTCTAACCATAAAGACAAGGTGTCTCTCCGCTCTAAGTAATACATGATGAGATGACTTTGGTCTCTGTTCTATTTCCTGCCATTTGTTTCTTACGTTCATTTACCTCGGTTTAAAGCATTCACCGAGATGAAATTAATCTATCTGCATTGTAACCAAACAGAACCATATTGATTGTACATCTTGTTTCAAACAGAACCTCTTCTTCTTGTTTTACACTAAGACACATCACTTCTTTTGACACAACACTTCTTCTTGTTTTAGAAAGACACAAGCAACACTTCTTCTTGTTTTTATGAATCAAATATTCACTTGCATCAGATGATTTTGGGAAGAGCCCCATGAGGAGTTCTACCATTGGAGGACACAAAAATAAAATTTTGATTTGAATTTCTTCCCAACAAAAATAACAAAATTTACTAAAAAAATAATGGGAAGAGACTCTCATGGGTCTCTACCATTGAGGATGGTCTAAATCTGTCACGAAAATTTATATGCGCTTATAATTTGTAATCGTTCTAACGTCTGCCCTAAAGCTAAAATTTGTTTAAAATTGAATTTTTGTGTAATGCTTAAAACATTTATGAAAATATCTTGTACCAAAGACAGAAATGGAGAATAAACAACATTTTTCAAGTTAATATATGTTTATCCAAACTCTGTCGGATCAAGGATGTTAACCGATTTGACATTTTATAAAGACCATCGGTTGTGAAACGTGAAGAGTTTGTTTACACATCATATAACTATTCAATCACCTTTTTCTATTTTATTTTTGTGAGCAAACGCTGGTATATGTTTATAAAATCGTCATCTAGGCGTTTATGTAGCCAAAACCACCCCAACGCATTGTTTTTGGTCAAATTAGTACAAACCAAATTGTTTTATGATGATTGGAATTTGGAAGTCGATAGAAAAAAGAGCCTGTCTGAAAGAAAATATTAAAAAAAAAAAACCAAACTAAAAAGTAAAAATACAATGTGGAGAGAGAGAGAGAGAGAGAGAGAATGAAAGAAGAGAATGCCCCTCGGACTTATCAGTATTGTCAGACCAAGCCTGAGAGCTTCTTAGTGTTATTAATAATTGAAAATAAAATTGATTAAAACAAAACACACTCTGGAAAATTACTCAAAACTCCTTCTTCTTCTTCTTCTCTGTCCGTCTCTCTTCATCGTCGCGTCGTCTTCTTCTTCTCCATCTCGTCTCTTTCTCTCTCGCTCTCTGCGCTACTAGTTCGTTTTCCTGATGAATTCTCACAAAACCGAAGAAGTTCTGTTCCACCACCATCATGATCTTGGTCCGACGGCGGACTTAATCGTTCAATCACAACCCTCTGTTCTCCACGACCACCACAATTCCGAAGTCGATCCCGATTTTTCTCTCCCGGAATTCGTCCTCTTCCGTTCTTCTCCTTCCGGAGATTCTCCCGGTCACTCCTCCGACGAACACGACGATGCGTCTCATCCCTACGCCGGAGCCCCCAAAATCGATGCTTCCTCAAATTCTAGGGTTTCGAGTGGAGGAAGGGATGAGTTTTTTATCAGCCCCGATCCTCATATCTCATCTCAGTTCTACACATTCAACTCAGATTCGCACTCCCTCATGATTCGCTGCCTCCGCGAGGGGCGTCTCGCTACTCCGGCGGAGATCCGCCTCGCCACTCCTAGGTCTGTCCTCAAGTCATGGCGCTGCGTTTGGAAAGACCGAAACGAGGAAACGGCTTACCTCACTGCCTGGAAACGGATCCAGGATAAGCTGACCTCGCGCCTGGATCCAGCCACCGGTAATGAATTTCTTTGCTTCAAGAATAATTCTCAGCAATTCGTCTCTCACATTAACCAGTGGCAAGATATAGTCATGGGCTTTCACGGTGATGGTGATTTGAAACACCTAGGCCCCAAAGAAACGATTGAAAGGATTAAACAAGTTTGGACCGTCGGTGCTAAGCTCTATGGCATTCCCGAGAGCTTTATCAGGGTTTGTGTAGCGGCATGTCCTATTTGCAATGCTGAGTCTGGTTCTGGTTCGAGGAACAAACGCCGTCGGTTTGAGTATACAGAGTCTTTTGATGTCCCTGCCAAGGATGTTCCCGATAGGTTGCAGCAACTGGCTGCCAAGCACAAGGTTGTGCTCTGTATTAGGCAGAAGTATATTAGGTATAAGCCATTTATGGCTGAGGTGAAGGATTATGCTTGTCATAGAGCTGGAGAGCCTGCCTCAATTAAGAAGGCTAGGATTTTGAAGAGGGAGCCTTATCAGTCAAAGAAATGCGGCTGTGGTTTTAGGATTAGAGCTATTGTGCCCATTGCTAACTACAGTGAAAAGACCAAAACTTTTGTATATCAGGAAGAAGGGACTGCTGTTTTTAAGCTATACGCTGTCCATTCAGGGCATGAGCCGGGCGCAACGGATGGAAATGCGAGGATCATGCATCGGGTCGTTGGTCATAAGGGGTTTTTGATGGATCAAGAGACCGTCTATGGAGTGCAAGAAGAATTGGAAACCGAAGGGATCAGTGGCGATATGCGTTTTGCTGTCTTGCATCAGGTGCAGGAACTTAGGAGTGAACTTGGCACTCTAGAAGGAAAGATTGGGAAGTTTCCACAAGAGATGTTAAATTCGGTGTCCAGCGAGTTGTTTGAGATGCTCAACAAGATCAGGAATTTCCGCGATGAGAGTGTTCTTGGGGATGAGAGTGTAATCGGCGATGAGAGTGCTAAGGAAACAACGGGCTTGCTTCCGGACAAGTCACACTCAGATGAAATACTTGTTGGAGATAACGATCTAGCACATTGGAGTGACCATCATCACGAGCATTTATATGGAGATGGGAAGGATGCAGAGCTTATTGAAGACGAAGAGGACAGTTTTGGGAGAAGCCTTGATGATGTTGTTCCTTGGGAACAGATAAGCCCACCCTCGGGTTGTGGAAGTCAAAAGGATATCTTGTCTGAGACATGCAAGCCTGAGAAATGGTTGAAGTGCAATGATTTTGATGAGAAGAGCATTCTGAATAGTCAAGATTCTAAATTAACAAAACCGATGAGTCATGATGGAGCTAGTATAGAATCAGATATAGGTTTAGCTGGTATACAAGTCGATAGCTTCTATCAAGAAAACTCCAAGTGGTATGATTCTCCCTGTGGTTTGGATTCAAACACAGACGGTGAAGACAATGGATTCAGACATGGGGAGATTTTGTAGAAGCACGGTAAGGTTCTTCATTATAACCAAGTTCTAACTATTTTATCTCACACATCTCGTTATGCATATCCTTCCCCACATCATAACTGGGAATCAGGTTGTATATTTGATGTTTTCTATAACAAGGTTTGAGGGATTTTTTGTTTTTGCCGTCTGTTGTAGGAGTTTCCTTGTTGTGTGGCTATGTAAATTGAAACCCAGATTGTTTCTCTGCATATATATAACATTGTTAATTTATTCAACTAAGATCTCTCCTTTGACTATTGTAAAGTGATCATCTTTTGCGCCCAAATCATTTGAATGTATATGTATCTTTTGGTTTCAGAGTTGACTTGGGAGTTGGGACAATCTTGTTCTGGATATATAGTAGGATAATTCTGGAATCTTTCTGTACAGGTTCAGTAGAACGCCAACATCGTCTTACGATTATATTTGTAATTGTGTTGCTACAACCTTGCTTGGACAGTTACAAACTTGAATATGTGTTTCTAGACTCAATGGAACTGGTTTGTCCAAGATTTTAAATTAATTAACCTTTTCTCTAATTAGCCATTGCTATCATATCTCTAAACTTTATGAATTTTGAATTGTAATTTGTAATATACAAATACGTACGGTTTTGTGCCGTTTTGGATATAAAAAAAAGTAGACCAGACCGGGAACAGGATACAAATTTCCCGGCAATCAACAACTCAGAGACGAAGTGAGGGAAAATGACGATAATAGTGTTTGAATTTCTCTCAAATTACAAAGTGGCCCATCAAGTCCACTGTCAACTGAAGAGTACTTCGGTCATGTAATTACGAAATTTTCATTTTCGATGGCAGAAAAATCAAACTGCGACGAAGCGATCTGAACTAATTGGGTAATCCGGAATAACAAGTCTAAAGTAAAATTCGAACATTCTCAAACGAGTCTACAAGTCTACATAATAAACTTGAATATTCTCAAACTATATAGACTAAAATTCGAACATTCTCAAACGAGTCTACAAGTCTACATAATAAACTTGAATATTCTCAAACTATATAGACTACAAGTCTTTACTACAATGTACAGCGTATAAACGACTAAACAATTGATTAGGACCGTCAACTATAAATAGTGAAGACGATCTATGTTAAAACACGTTCACTGAGCGATTGAAGGATAGTGATGATACGATCATTGTTAAATTGTGTTGCATTGCATGGTTTTCAGAGCCACATGCGCCCATTGAATAGGTCTCTCAGGAATAAAGACAAAACCTGAACTGGTGGAACGGATCGGTCGGGTAAGTGGGTGGGTGTGAGCAGATATGGATTGAAGGGATCACGCTCAAACGTCGTAGTTTCTAGGCAACTTCTCCTCTTCTTAAGCGGTCAAACACATAAGCGCGCGCACATACACACACAATCCAAATCCACTCACTCTTGACAAAAAGACAAGTGTCGTCCAAAATGTTCTTGAGGCCTGAGGGTGTTCATAAAAGAAGAATTACTAAAAATCACCTGGTTATATATTCAATTTTCTATATATTATCTTTTTTTTAAGCTCCACACGTATGTCAGAGTGCATTGAACGTATGGACTGACCTTTTAGCATTTGATAATTCCAACCCCATCCTTTTGTTTTTTTTTTGTCTTCCATGCGTTTTTGGTATCAATACTCTTAATTATACTACGTACTAGTTAGGGATTGACATTTCGATTCTACATACACACACATATATATATATAGGTCTGATTACTGACATGATTTTCACTGATAAAGCCTAAAGTCTAAATAATTTAGCCTAGAAGGGAGTAATGTAAATTAGTAGTAGTACTCCAGTGGTAAAAGGGATGGTAGAGTATATGATAACTACCGAGTAGTTTATATATCCCACAAGACACGGTCTGACTAAGGCCTTGAATGGAAGGGCAGATTAAAGGCAGATTAAAAGCAGATAATACACACAATGGGGGAACTGCTATTTTTCCTCCATTCACACAAAATTAATATAATGGCAGTTCAAAAAATAAAATATTATTAAAAAATAACTAGCAGATCAAAAAAAAGAAGGATATTTGTACTGCACTATGAACAGTAAAAAAGCTGGAGATTTGGAGTGTTTTTAAATGAACTGCTTTTTTTAATAAAATATTAATAAAACTTGATCTGCATTTAATATGCCATATCTGATTAATCTGTTTTTGTTCTGCTGGGTATATTTGAACTGATTGATCTGCTCTGCCGTATTTATTATCTCCATTCAAAGCCTAATTGTTGTTTGGGGTCCCTGAGATTCCCATTCCCCATGTCCCGCACATGCTCGCTTTTCACAGTTTTCACGCCCATTCATTTATCTTTCCTTTTTCCATAAACCTTCCCATCACGGTTAACGGTAATTCGTTGTTCTATCTTTCCAATAACGACGCCTCTTCATTCCTTTGTATTTTTGTTTCTTTGTTTTCTTTTATTATTATTTTCAGTTCGATTCTTTGTTTTCCTCTAAGACCATGATTAATGGGGGAGTCTTACTTGTTTCTTATATATTTTGTTGATTAAAATTAAATAATTAATAATGCTAAATGGTAAGAGACGTTCCTTGGTCAAGAGTTAATCTTAACCTTAAGAGGTGCACGTGTCAATTTCTTAGTGGTCGAAAAAAGAAAAGAAAAAAAAGTGGGGAAAAAGGTTCTTCTTCTCTCTCCCTTTCAGACAATCGCATGTCTCTCTGCTCAAAGCTGAACTTGTCCTCTTCTACTTCACATTCATCTCGCTTCTTCCACGTTATTATATACATAATAATATTATAATTGTAATTTTTATTCAATAACATTGTACATGATTAATATCACAGAAATTCTTATTCACCGATTTATTATTTTATCATTTTCTCAAGGATGATTAAAATTCAAAAGTTAAAATCTTTTTTTAGAAAATTAAGCAATTTATTATTCTCAATTTCTCATATATATTTAAAATTTTTAAATATGCAATAATTAATAAGTTTTATAAAATTACAAATTTTAGTTCATTTCATTTGAATAATTTGTTTTTCTAAGAACCTCAAGTTAAGAGTCTACCATTAAAGATACATAAAAACTAAAATCAAAAATCTAACTCTTAACTTTAAACTTTTCAATTTTATTACTAAATTATTCTTAAGAGAAAAGCTTAAGAGCTCATCAATAATCATGCTCTAACGTCACACTTCAAAAGACCCAAAAATAGTGGAACCCATATGGCCATATATATATACACGCTCTTGTATTATTGCTTAAAACCTAACCCAATCATCCTGCTGAATTTTTTTACCTTAAGCCAAATAAACCTCCAAATCACAAAACCCTTATCTCCCCTTCGTGTATGATCACTCTGTTTCACTTCCACTTTTCATCGATCTCTCCTTCCCAAGCCCTATATATATAGACATAAACAACTCTACCTTTGATTCATTTTTCTTTTCAACGGATCACCAAATCAACAGTATACTCATGGATGAAGTCTCTCGTTCTCATCCACCGCATTTACTGTCAAGAGATCTTCATCACTATCACCATCAAAACGCTGTACTAAAACGCGACCGAGAAGAAGACCAGTTTGAACCCAACAACGACCACTCTAATTCATCCGGCAAAGACCAAACCACGACTCCCTCTGGACAAGAGAATACCAAGAAGAGAAGGCCACGTGGCAGACCCGCTGGTTCCAAGAACAAACCCAAAGCACCGATCGTAGTCACCCGAGACTCCGCAAACTCCCTTAGATGCCACGTCATGGAGATAACCAACGCCTGTGATGTGATGGAAAGCTTAGCCGTCTTTGCTAGACGCCGTCAGCGTGGCGTCTGCGTCTTCACCGGAAACGGCGCCGTTACAAACGTCAACGTTAGACAACCCGGCGGAGGCGTCGTTAGTTTACACGGACGGCTCGAGATTCTCTCTCTCTCGGGATCGTTTCTACCTCCACCAGCTCCATCAGCTGCGTCTGGTCTAACGGTTTACTTAGCCGGTGGTCAAGGTCAAGTGGTCGGGGGCAGTGTCGTGGGACCGCTTGTGGCTTCTGGTCCAATTGTGATTATGGCAGCTTCATTTGGGAACGCAGCTTACGAGAGGCTGCCATTAGAGGATGAGGAAGAAACTGAAAGAGAAATAGATGGAAACGCGGCTAGAGCGGTTGGAACGCAAACGCAGAAAGAGTTAATGCATGATGCGGCGTCGTTTACACATTCGGATGTAGTCAACTCTGTTTCGTTGCCAGGTGAAGCTTACTGGGGACCGCAACGATCGTGTTTCCCCTAAGATTTATTTGGAAACTTTCGTCTTCTTCTTTTCTTTACTTTTTAATTTTCTAAAGATTTTTACTAGGTTTGGATTTTAATGTTTGCTGATCAATGCCTGGAAGTTTAATTAATGTTTGTTACAGATCAAGAATGTGTGTTGAGACGCAGTGGTCTGGTCCCGGATTGATCTTGATGGGCTTTTGCGTGTGTGCTGACTCGATGTTTAAGTGACATAGTTGCTTTCATGTGTGTTTTTCTTTGTTGCTGAATATAATTTTGACGAGGCAATCTTTTGATGTTTCGGATTTTATCTTTATTTACATATGCATCCTCTCACGTCAAAACTTTTTACACCCACATGAAAGCTACTGTATAAGAAGAAAACAAATGAGCATTCCAATGCTGGTATCATGACAATGGCAAAACTTGGAACAAGGTGATTGCATTGGCAGACACTTTTCTTATGACCTTTTTTTCCTTTAGATACTTGTGCGCAAACATTTGGCTTGTGTGTACACCCACGCACATAATTACTCCACACGACTCAAAATTGCTTTGACTGATGATGAGTCATCAGATCTCTTACTCTGAAAATAGATGATGAAATAACATAAGAGGTCGCGGAGACCAATGGAGGTGTATGGGCCGAATCTGTAAAGCATCTAAAGCCCAATTAAATAAAAAAGCCCTAAAGTGGCCTCCTTCGTTCATCATCATCTGTAGCAGTCAGGTAGGCTAAGTTCTTCTCTCCCGCCGCTTTTTTCCTCCTTACAAGACCTATTTGTACGTTTGCCGGAGTCTTGACGTCAGCATGCCCAGTCACCACTTCCGGAGCACAACCGATCTTTGCCTCGTCGATACATCGATTATCTACAGTGTGCCCACCATTATCATCTCTGCCTCCAACTGAATTTTTGTCATCTCTCTCGTTGTTCGAATTTGATTCCACTAGGGTTCGATTGGATTTAGGGTTTGAAATATGGCAGCCGGCTTGATCTCCATTGACTCTGCTCTCCATTTCCCTCGTTCACATCAACTCGATGGCTACAAGAGGTTACTCTCTCTTTCTTTTATATCTGTGACTCTTTGGAGTTCCTTTGTTATCTTTCCCTAATCTTATATTCTTATTGGGATCATAGTATCTGGAATTGGATTCGTTTCGATAGTTATCTGGTGTCACTGAAATCTTTTTATCAACTAATGATCGGGAACTGGAAGTGTCAAAGATGATTATAAACATAAGTAGTGAACTAATCTCGGAACAAAACAATTTTTGTTTTTTTTTTTATCTCTGAAAAGAATCAGTTTTTGTTGTTGTTGTTGTTGTGTGATGAAGAAGAAGGATTAGCTGGAGTAATGCTGTAGATGTTTAGAGTTCATAGTGTTTAGGAGACATATACTCTTAGTGGCCGAGTTATACATTACTCGCACTCTGTCTATCTTGCCTAAAGTTTGTGAATTTTCTGTGCTCTATTAGCTTATCACACAGAAGGTATGCGAAATGGGTCTCTCCAAAAGCAGCTGTTGTACCTAACTTCCATCTTCCAATGCGCAGTCTCGAGGATAAAAACAGGTCGATTTGACTTCTTCTTTCCCTTGTTATGTTTCCTCTTATTTTTGTTTCATGCTACAGCTTTCTCTTGTTTTTTTTTTTGGTTGCAGGACAAACACAGACGACATAAGGTCCCTTAGAGTGATCACAGCCATCAAGACACCATATCTACCTGATGGGAGATTCGACCTCGAAGCTTATGATGACTTAGTCAACACGCAGATAGAGAACGGTGCTGAAGGTGTGATTGTTGGTGGTACAACCGGTGAAGGCCAATTGATGAGCTGGGATGAACACATAATGCTTATTGGCCATACTGTAAATTGTTTTGGCGGAAGGATCAAAGTCATTGGAAACACCGGAAGCAACTCGACTAGGGAAGCTATACATGCCACTGAGCAAGGATTCGCTGTGGGCATGCACGCGGCACTGCACATAAACCCTTACTATGGGAAAACATCCATTGAGGGCATGACCGCACATTTTCAAACCGTTCTTCATATGGGACCAACGATTATCTACAATGTGCCAGGTCGAACAAGTCAGGATATACCTCCACAAGTTATCTTTAAACTCTCTCAGAACCCCAATATGGCTGGGGTTAAGGAATGCGTGGGTAATAACCGAGTTGAAGAGTATACTGAGAATGGAATTGTTGTTTGGAGTGGAAATGATGATCAGTGTCATGATTCTAGATGGGATCACGGGGCGACTGGAGTTATATCGGTTACCAGCAATCTAGTTCCGGGTTTGATGAGGAAGTTAATGTTTGAAGGTAGAAACTCAGGGTTGAACTCAAAGCTTCTGCCTTTAATAGATTGGGTATTCCAGGAACCAAATCCGATTGGTGTTAACACTGCATTGGCTCAGTTAGGTGTGGCGAGGCCAGTTTTTCGATTACCTTATGTGCCATTGCCTCTGTCCAAAAGGATTGAGTTTGTAAAACTGGTGAAGGAAATCGGAAGGGAGCATTTTGTAGGAGAGAGAGATGTTCAGGTGCTTGATGATGATGATTTCATCTTAATTGGTCGATATTAGACCGTCTTCCTTGAAAGTTGGCTCTGTTTATACTCCTCTATGATACACTCACAGAGTTGATCTGCTGGTCTGTTGCTTTTTAGTGATGAATATGATGGGTTTTGCTTACACTATCCTTCTCTTATCTTTGAATGATTCTTTTTCTTTTGTCTCTGCGTGTTTGGCTCCTTTATATTAACGGCATGATGAATTTGTGAGTTTGGTCCTCAAAATCGCTATCACGGATCGGTAACATCGATTGTCATGGGAAAAAGAAACGCATAAAAATGACCATGGATACATGTTTATTTATATCAAAACTTTGAATGAAAAATAAAAATCACCCATAGATCATTAGTTTGATTTTTATTTTACGAGAAGACATGTAATCAAGGAAACAAGATTCACGAAGAAGATAACAAGAGGAAGGAGGTGGAGAGAGGGGAGAGTTTTGGATGAAGCAGAGCGAACAGAGCATTGTTTTCTTGGTGGAGAAGGAGAGCTTTCTTTTTCAAAGCCTCGTTCTCTCGTATGATGCTTTGATTCTCTACGAGAAGCTTGAAGTTTCTCATCTCCATCTCCTTATTTTCCTCTCTCAGTACTCTTCTCCTTCTGCCTCCCAAGAACAGAAAAAAACATAGTAAACTATTATAGTTCAGAACGCTAAAAAAGAGACAATGTGTCTGAAGAAGCTTGATAAATACGGAAGACATGAAACTGAACCTGTTGAGATTGAGGATACGAATATGAATTTGTTTCTTAGATTTTCGTTTGCTATGGTGCGAAGCTGATCTCATCGTTAATGTCTGAGTGTCTGAGAATGGTGGCTCTGAAGATTTCAGACACATCTCATAGTTTTATTTCGCACAAGAACTGAGTAAGCATTATATAGTAGATGATCTACAAAGCTGTTGTGTCTTTTGAGATAGAGAGAAAGAGAAAGGGAGAGATGAAAAAAAGATAAGGCTTTTGAAGGTAATGATGGCAAAAGGAAACTCATGATTAAAGAGGGGCCAGGGATGCATGAGTTCAGGACGAAGATGATGAAGAAGAAGACCAAAACAGAACCTTCTCTCTCTCTCTCTCGGAGTCTCTATTTCTTGTTCTTGATTGAATACTTACTGTACTAATAGAGGAAAACTTAGTAGAAATAGTTGAGAGGTACATATACCAGATCAACCATAACAAATAGCAAATCATTCAATTTTGATACTAATTGATTACTTTAATTGTAATATTTCTATACAAAGTTACATTTCTCCATAGCACCTCTTGTTTTGAAAAAAAGGCTCAAAAGAAATTTCCTTTTAACTTACGACCAAACCCATTTGAAAGGTTCAAGTCTTGGATTTGCGGTTTGGCATCTCGTGATCAAACCCGGTTTCCCTCATAACTGGGGGTGGGTCTAATTTAAGGAAAAAACCTTAGTTCCGAAGAGACTTGTATATTTTGTTCCAATGTAAAAAATCTAAGCATGTGATATGAATAGTGAGAAATATATAATTGATCTAAGGACTAGGACCACTATAAAACTCTTACTCATTTCTTGTGTTGATATCTTGTTGAGATGCAACCAAATAGAAAGACAAAGAAAGAAAACAATAAAGAAGGGGTGAAGAAACTAATACTACAAAAGACTAAATTGCAAATTGTAGGAGCTAGTCAACATCCAGAATTATTATCATGCTTCAAAATGATCAAAGTAGTTATGATTCCACACCTATATTCTTTACTATTTCTAGCCATTCCTTAGAGTAGGGCATTGTCTACTAGAGATGAAGGTTGCTCTTCATGTCAGAATATATTTTATAAAAAAAATAAGCACAGAAGAAGGATCATAAATGGAAAAAGATTTACCATAGGTTGTGTGAAATTTCTGGAGTTGCTACAATGATGAGTTCTTGAAGCATAAATAAGAGTGGTCCATATAAAACACAACCACGCCCCTTCTCTGCTGCAAGATGGTACCATATGTGAATCCCCCTAGCTATAGCGTAGCACTCTCATGCTATTAGCTAATTACCATTCAAATTTTGTTTAATCATTTTGCTTAGATAGTCAACCCCCAATAAAACATTAAAGATGTTATCAGAAGGAGACGATGAGATCTTTTGGAGTCAGCTAGACCTTTAGTTTTAAAAAATCAGCATGGTGAGGTTCGTTGTAAGATATTATCTTTCGTCTTCTTATGTTTCACCACCGTCGACACCATTTGTGCTCTCTAGTTAGTTCCCTCGGACGAGAGAAAAAAAAGGCGGGGACTTTTTTGAAGCCTTAACCTTGTAGAATGAGTGTGTCGTCTTAACAGATTTAAACGACAGGCTGTGTCGGTGATGTGGGATGGTTGGAAACATAAGCCCATTGGGCTCTTGAAATATATAATAAATGGGCTACCTTATAGAAGGCATATACATATTAGACTTTAGAGTGTCTGATCCGGTTCTTGGTTCAGTTAAATCAAACCTGAGTTTTTTTTTTTAATGAAAATTAGAAAGAACATGGACCCGAAGAGGCTCTTCACTTTGCTCACCACGTGGAAATATCACAAGTTCAAGTTCCGACGGTTCAATGAATTGTGCAATTTGTAAATGAAAAACACGAAAAATCACGCATAAAGTTACAACGTTGCAAAAAAACCACGAACTGAAATGCTACTAGTTAATTAGAAGATCTCTCAACAACAGTATTACAAAACTAATAACACACCAAAACAAAACAAAAAACAATCATCAAATATCTAAAATTAACTAAAAAGATTAACTTAAACACTTATCCCAGTCTTAACAAACAGAACCACGTAAATAAATAAAGGGACTCGTCTATAGCTAAAAAGAAGAGAGTGGCACTCTCGGTAATTAAAGAGTGTTTTATAACAAGAGAGATGTGGCGGCAAGAGCGACGACCAATGCGGTGAACAACGCAGGAGCGTTCACGTGAAACGCCTCGTTTTTCGCATTACTGTCCTCTGAACTTGTCGGCGAGTCTGACGGAGCTCCTTCCGGCGAAGTTTCGTCCTCCGGAGGTGCCGGCGGAGAAGCTGCCGCTGGAGTAGGTGCTTCAGCTGGAGACGGTGACTTAGCTGGAGACGGTGTCGGTGCAGTCACCGGCTCCGGTGCCGGCGCCGGAGATGGAGATGGAGATGGAGATTTTCCGAATAGCTCAGTGGGGAGTAGTACATTATCCACCGTGAAGATCACGACAGGTGTCTCATCGATCACCGTGTCAGCGAGTCGCGACGGAGCAACGCCGGTGTGAAGGATAACCTCGTCGCCAGAAGTGGACGTCGTTAAATCGTACTTACCGGCGCCGTTAGTGGCTAACGTGGAGATAGCGTCTTTGTTAGTCTTTAGTGAACCTTTAGGTTTGTACTCAGCGAGGGCGTGGTAGTCTAGGAGCGAGACCACCTCAGCTTGCGTGAGCTTCGTCAGATCTGGTACACCTTTCGCTCTAAAAGCTTCATCGGACGGTGCAAAGACCGTCAAGCCTTTTTCAATGGTTGATACGTATGTTTTGAGTACGCCACTCGAGACGAGCAAACTCGCGAAGGTTTTACAACCGGCTTTCTCGAGAAGTCCGGTGATGTTGCTGAGTCCGCCGGAAGAAGGAGCAGGTGCGGTTAAGATTCCGGGAGCGATGATCGGAGCGTTGATTTCGAGAACGGAGATGTTGTAAGGGATTTGTTTAACGGATTTGGTGTAGGATGAATCGAGCTTGGATCCAGGAGCGGCGGAGCCAAATCCGACTTTGCCTCCTTTGAGATCGGTGACGTTGACGAACCCTAGGTTTCCGGGAGCATTTCCGGTGGTTTGATAAAGCGTGGTGGTGAGAGTTGTGCCTTGAGAGAGCTGGTGGAGTTTCAAAGGATCGTAGTAGTCGAGGAGGACGAGGAGGCTGAGAGCGTTTTTGACGACGGAGAGTGGATGTTTTCCGGCGAGGGAAGACATTGCGCCATTCTTGAGGACGAGGACGGTGATGGTAGTTCGGCTGTTGATTTCGTCGGCGAGTTTTGTTTGGGAAAGGTAGCTGTTGAAGGAGGAATAGTCCGGCGTATCGGAGAGGATTTGAGTGATGTTATGGCCGGAGACGGTGGAAGCGACGGCTAGGAGAGACAAAGCGAGTGCCAGGAGAGAGAAAGCTCGTAATGTCCCCATTGGAATTTGGACGGTTGAACTGTGGAGTAGAGGAGAAAGTGAGAGAGATGATCAAACGAAGGATTTATTAAAGAAGAGGTTAACAATTTAACCATGGTTATACATTATTTGAAGGTTTCAAACTATGGTTAATTTGAGAACACGTGCTTACCTATTGCTATAAAAGGCCTGAAATTTCGAAAAGGGTTTAATGTCTTTTTTTCTCTATGGTTCGTTCGTCTTCCAAAAGCAACCGTTATAACATTTTCATTTGACGTTATTCCCTATGATTTGGTAATGATTTAATGGTTAAGACTTAAGTAAGACTCTAAGACTTATATCAAGACAAAGTTATTAAACTTGGTCAACTAGCTAACTACTACATTAATTAGTGTTTTTTCCTTTTAAGATTTATTGATCCACACTATAGGCAATGTGGTTTTTAGTTTTTTTACATTGCTGCTCATCAGATTTGTAAATGCATTGAGATCAAAAGGATTCAGATATTTGCAATCTATGTATATTGTTAGTGTTAGTAGTAAACTCATAATTAAGTGTCGGTATCAATTTTAAATACTTGGTCAATAATAGTTGGTATCATCTTTTATAAATGGAAAGAAGGTTCTTATTTTCCGACAAAGCACTTATATATAAATTATATTTATTTCATAACAAAACGACAATCCAAATATTATTTTAATACGTGTAAAAAAAATCTCTAAAAGTAAAATCAGCTGAACCTTCCCAAATCAGCTAACCATCAATAATGGGCGGAGATGAGGCTTTATTTCCTTGATTTAAGCCCATTAACAATGCTAATAACACGTGTGGGCACGTGTCACTCTTCAGCTTCACATGATTTGTATTGGGCCTGTCATAAGCCCAAACTGCGTATGCCGGTCAAAAACAAACGACCGAAGACAAAAGCTCCGCCGCAGAATCTCAGATCGGATCTTTAGAGAGAGAGAGAGAGAGAGAAAGAGAGAGAGATGGAGAGGGACGTGTCGAGCTGCAACACTTACAACTATGGCGACGCTCTCTATTGGGACGCTCGTTACGTGCAAGACGCGCTTTCCTTCGACTGGTACCAACGTTACTCTTCTCTTCGCCCTTTTGTCCGCAGCTTCGTCCCTACTTCTTCACGTGTCCTCATGGTCGGCTGTGGCAACTCCCGTATAACTCTCTTCTTTCCTTTTGCAATGGATTTAAAATCATCTACCATTGGTTGAATTTGACTTTAGGAGCATAGCATCCAACTGTTTGTTCTCTTTGGTGCAGTGATGTCAGAGGATATGGTGAAGGACGGGTACGAGGACATTGTGAATGTGGATATCTCCTCAGTGGCCATTGAGATGATGCGAACCAAATATGCCTCTGTTCCTCAGCTCAAATGTATCACTTTTTATTTTTATTTGAAGGTACTTGCTTTAAATATGTAAAGTAAGAATCTTTAGTCTTATACTCTGTTTACCCAACAGATATGCATATGGATGTTAGAGATATGAGCTACTTTGCGGACGATCTCTTTGATACAGTCATTGATAAAGGTATGTTGTAGCCAATTGCTCTGTTTTTTTTTTTTTTTTTTGTTTGGTTTAATTTAGGTGGAAAGCTTAGAAGTGATATTTTGTTACCTGTTGCTGCGGCTGCTGGATTGTGTAGGAACACTTGATTCGTTGATGGTACGGAACCTGATCCTATGTTTCTCGTATTCATGTCTACATGCGTTTTTAAGTTTTCTTCTTTTGTGTGGTACGGTGGATTCCAGTGTGGCAATGATGCTCCTCTAAGTGCTACGAGAATGTTGGGTGAAGTTAGCAGGTCACTAATATCATGGCTGCTCCTGGATCATCTCATATAGATGCCATTTTTGGATTCTCTTTCTATATATTTTCTGTTTCCTCTTATGAACCAACAAAAACTCTTCTCTTTCATCTTGCAGGCTGATTAAACCTGGAGGGACCTACTTTTTGGTAATATACTTTCACTTGTATCCCCTTTATGTCTGCAACTGTTCATAGTCATTGTCACTGGTACTAGAAGATATTTTATGTTTGTTGGGTAGATAACCTACGGTGATCCCAAAGTGAGAATGCCTCATTTGACTCGTCCTGCTTACCACTGGAAGATCTCCTTATACATTATACGTAAGCTTCCACTTTTTTCCTTGCTGTAAAAATTGTGTTCTTCGCTTCATTCCTTTGAGGTTCTTGCAGCAAGACCAGGATTTAAAAGGCCGGAAAGTTGCATGTCGTCAGAAAAATCTTGTATGGAAGCTATACCTCTGACAAGCGAGGGATTGTTGCCACATGATTATGTTCTGGAGGACCCTGATTCCCATTTTATTTACATATGCAAGAAGATGGACGAAGAAGAAGCTCATTTACCCTCGTACCCATTAATGGAGGATGTTTTGTAGTGATGTCTGTGAGTGGACTAAAACAATGCCAAATTGTGCACACGTGTTTGTCTTTCTTGATCCCCATTTAGATCAGCCGATCTTTTGTTGTATCCTGTATGTGTCTTGTGATCTATCCCAATTGATATAGGTCCGAGCAGGAATTGCTCAAGCAACTCATAATTTCTTTTATACGAATAAACATCTCTTCATCTTTTTCAAAGTCTAATGGATTATCTTCTTTAAAAACTGTATAATCATTTTGATAAAATAGAAAGGAAAGCTTTACATGAGAAGAAGATAGAAAAATCTCAAGAAACAAGAAGTCGGAGTTGGTTTTGTGAATTCAATATCTTGCAGAATGCACCATCAATGTCATTGTTTAGCTTCTTCTTCTTCTTCTCCATCATTAGCCAACCCACTTCCCTCTGCAAATCCTCTGTTGGTGCTGCAAGTTTCTTCCGACAGATCTTGGGAGTGAGACATTTCTCGGTGAGTTGCTGTTGATTTTATCAAAACAGTTAGATCCATTCATCACTCCGAGCCAAGCTTCAGTGTCTGATCCACCAACTTCGAGCTTAACTGCAAGCAATTTCAATTTCAAACATAAATTCTGTTTTCTTACTTGGTTTCTGAGTTAAAAACGATGGAATACTAAAAGAGCGTAAAGACTATGTTGCTCTTTTGCTGATTTTATAGTTCAAGATATTTCCAAGCCTTATAAGGCAATGACAGTAACATTATGTCTTCATCAACTGATACAAAACTACCAGGGGGTCTTCTAACTGTAGTAGATGGTTGCAATTACCGAAGAAGGGTAAATGCGAACAGAGTAACAAAACTTACAGCTGGATCGGTGAAGATGATCAGCTGTTTATCTTCTGTGGAAACTAAGAGGTTAGTGTTGTCTGTGTTCAGAGCCATAGCGGTTATATCCTGCCCTTCACCAAGCTTCAAGACATGAAATACCTAACGAAGAAGAATTTTTGTTTTGTTAGGAGAAAACTTCCTAGAACGACATCAAGAGCAATCTAGTGGGTTTGCATTAATTAAATTGTTCGAATAGTAATACCTGGAGAGTGTATAAGTTGAGGAAGCAAACTGAAGGAGATGGTATATATAATCTCTCAACTTCTTTGCTTATATTTGATGAATCATCTTCACCAGTAATGTTATTAAAACTCCTCGATCCATCAATGTCGGAAAAAGAATTCACGCCAATCACAACATTTTGTCCGTCCATGGATAGTTCCATGCAGCTTATGGTACAAGATGAAGGAAGTCTTGCTTTGGAAATGAGAACTCCATTAATGGTGAACGTGCTGATAGAAATTTCTGAGCTACTCCAGACAACTATAACTCCATCTGAAGAAATGCAAAGAGCATGGGCCTCAACGCCAACAAACCGTCTTATTAGTCTACCATTTCTTATGGAATGCAATAGAACATCTGATGACTCTGAGCACGATACGACTATTCCTTGATCCGAGCTAACACAGCAACAACATATTTCCCTTCGGTGGCCACGGAGCACTTGTATGGGCCCTTCAATGCGACCCTTTTTGGCTTTGTTCGCCAAGTTGTTGCTGCTTGCGGAGGATGGTGTTACAGAGCTTGTTGTCTGCTCAGAATCGCTTGTCTGAGAAGTGAATCGCTTGTGGAATCTCCACAACAAAACAGTTGTATCTCGTGAACCTGTCACAAGAAAGTTGTTGTCTGTAGACAGAGACAGATATGTTACAGGAGCACAGTGACCAAAAGCTGTTTCCAGTGTTTTCGCTCCATCAGATGAGACGATCTTAATGCTGTTATCCACATGTCCACCTAATTAGCATACACGGATTTTCAAATGATAAATATATTATCAATCTCCAACCTTTCACAGAGATCAGAGCCTTAAAAAGTGCTTACCAGTGATAATTTCTCCATCGTTAGTAATAGCAGTGACAGACGAACTTCTGATTCCTGATGAGGCAAATGCTTGTGCTTGGGGATATTCCCAATCACTCTTGAACATTCGAATCAATGTTCCGCCAGCTGAACTCGGCTTCCCGTGATGAAAGATGAAAGGAGCATTTTGGCCAACAGGCGTGTTTGGTTGCCACTTGTGTTGTGCAATATGTGAGGCAGGCACATTCATGTCAACAATCACAACAGTATCCAAAGATGCCTTGATGGCTGCAGCAGGTAAGTTGCAGTGTTCTGGAGCTGGTACAGGATACGGTCTTATCCCTTTTGGATTCCGGAAGATGGTCTAAACAAGAATATAAGGTGTTTGTCAATTTTGAATGGTAAAATTTGGCACAGTGGAACAACTATGAATGTTTTACATAAGCATTAACCTGCATATGAAGGGCATCTTTTAGAGGCATTCTTTTGATGTGAGGCACAGTCAATAGCTGCAAAGGCGTTTGCCCGATATTAACTATCTGGTCTTGAATATTCCGTTGTTGTACCTTCATCAATAGCCACAATAAAGTTTCAGAAATAGGCTATTATACCAAAACTAAGAAACTCCAATAGTACTACAAATGTAACTTACTGGATCTGTGATCTTATCAATATCAACAGTCCCCTCGTAGGTAGTGTAGAAGAAAACATTACTTGCCAGTGTAGCTTCCTTACCACGTTGCTTATACCTAAAAGAATAAGTTTAAAAGAAAAACAGAAGTAATAAAACAAACTCAACTAATCATACACATAAATTTTGTTTTGACACTAAGTTGTTGACAAATGTGCTGACAAGATGTTAGTTCAAGAAGAAAACCTACCCGAAAATGAGATCAATCCATTCATGCAAATGTGCAGAGACATGCTCGCTCTCAAGAGCCATTCGTTGTTTGTGTACAAAATCAATCGGACTTTTAGCCCAAGGAGGAAGTTTCACAGAATCTGATGGGTAAAGAACAATATCATATAAATTACTATGGTTTTTAGTTTCAGGAGTAATATTTTGTCTGGACAAGGAAAGGAAATAGACATAAACTCATACCAAGCTTTTCAACCAAGTTCTCGTTGGTCAACACCTCAGGAAGGTAAAATAACTCTGGAACCTACAAGAAAAAATGAGAGGCATGAATATGGCTACACTCTGCATTTACAAAGAAGAGGAAAGTGATTAAAACTACTCGATTTGATGCTTTTGAGAGGAGCCAGTTCTTACCAACTCCTTCACATTACTCATCTCTTGGAGAACTCCTTTCCAAGTGGCTGCAATGTCTGAAAACATGTGGTTTGCTCGACTGAAATTTCCACCTCGTTGAATTGAAAGAGTTGTAAAAGGTTCAACTCTAGCTAGATAGTGCAAAACCTATCCACAAGAGATAACAAATGGTAAACCATCTGCACGGACCATCATAAGTGAAAACTCTATCCAACTACTGTAAATTGCAGCAACTGTGGCAGATATCAATGATATCATATCATAGAGAAGATAACCTACTACTCCAACACTTGAGTAATGAGAATCATAGTGGAATTTGGGGATCACTGGATCTTCGTAGCTAGAGAATTGTTCTTGAAACTTTTTCAGCCGCTCCGGGTTCAATGTACCAATTGGCTGAACATATACAGACCCCCGTTACAACCAGTTTTAAGTTTAATGGACTATATGCAGGCATTGAGCCAAACTACAAGTAATACCACCTTGGAAAGATCCCTGTAGTTGGATGGATTTGAAAGGTCCAGAATTTCTGATGTATAGTCGCACAGAATCCATGGGAAAACAGGATACTGCCAACACATAGACGAAAATTACAAAAAAGTGAATGATATCAAATATTTCACATAAGAAAAAGCATTCTCACTTGAACAAGATTTACCTGAGAGATGTCATTATAACTACGCCCAGCCAATGTGTTGAGATGCATTAGGTACTCAAAATTGCTGATCTGCAGATAAGATGCAAAGTATCCAGCTAGAGTTAAGTATCTTCCAGATGTTATATAAAGGAATAAATAAAATAGCATGACCAAAATGAAGGCTATTCTTTGGTTACCTCCCGTCTAGCCCAACGCTGCATTAACTGTGTTCTTCCCAAAAGTTGTTCTGGCCTCTAAAAAGGAAACAATTTATGTAAGTTTTGCACCACAGAGGAAAATTTTACTCAGCTTGGTTCCTATCTAGGTCCACCATGCACGAAAGAATGGGCATACGTAGGAAGAAGAAACCAAACCTGAGTTGCCAAGTAAATATCTTTCAGAAGAGGAGGCCTTGCTTGAACAATAGCCCGACATGCATTTCTTCGTCCCTCAGTGTTCTATGGTGTTCATCAAACATCATAAAAGTATTTGGTGAGAAGAGATAGAGACTTGAAATCCAAGAAAATAGATATAATTATAATGTAACAGAGAAAGTTTTTTCGATACCCCAAAATCAAAGAAGAAATTTGAGCGATCCACCATAAATAGCTCAAGAGCACTCTTTCTTAGTAGATATCTGTGAAAGAAAAATATTAACAAAGATAAAGGTCTCCATCACTATTTACATAATAAGACGGAGAAAATAGTGAGCTAGTAACAACATTGATAATAAAACTTTACCGTCGGCTATAAATCTGATGAAGAGAAGACATCAACCAACTACGATCTCTCTCTTGGTCTTTTGATTTAGAACCATCTGACTTTTCATCCAAATGCTGGTCTTCTCCGGTGTCAACAATAAAATTTATTCTCCGTGTAGTAATCTGAGGAAATCAGAAAATATCCATTAGTTAAACATGGAAAATATTTCTCAGCCCTGGTTGGTTACGCTCTGTTTTATCTCTTGGTCACTAATACATAGTCATTAGTGCCAGTTACTTGTTTAAAGGATAAATAGGTGATGTTAGTCAGAGCATACTTGAAAGGTTCCTTTGACAACCCCTAGTGGCCGGACCATAGAAGAGGTAATTTCAAGAACAATCCTTTCATTGAGAACTACTTCTGTAGAATTTTGAACCATATCATGTTCACTCAAAGGTCGATGATCGTTCATTCCAGTTGACAGTGTTATTGCATCCTCAAGTGTGCCAGATCTCCTCTCTTCATTTTCCCCTTTGTGTTCTACAACATTAGACTCTATTTCGAGATCATCTGCATCTTCATGTTCATCATCTTCACACATTATTTCCGTGGATATTGCTTCAACAGCAAGAACAGGTGCATTTGATAGAGAATCCAAGTTATCTTGATTATTCTTCAAGTCTGCCTTATCTTCATAGTTTCTTGTTGTCTCAAGATGACT